AGACTAGGCAGGTGCTCCCCTTTCCTCAAAAGCATCATATGTATACATTGCTACTGCTTTAGCAAGACAATCTGGCGGATTAAAAAGAAGCTCAGTCAAAAGTTAATCATACATTATGCAAGAGCTAAATCTGATTATTGCAAGTCTTTATTTAGGCTTCAGATGTCATAGAAATTTATTTACACAACAAGCACAAAATCAACTCTGAAGTCCCACGGATGGCTTGGATTTGGCTTGAATATAAACGAGATTTCATTGATTGATTAAATTTTGAAATGGCGTCGTAAGCGGAGATTAATCGTTACGTTGACTTCATACTCCCGGAAATTTTAGATCGAGGCTAAATGATAGAGTGTACGAAGCGAGGCCGATGTTGAGCGAGGCCGCATGTCAGTCAATTAGATTGAAAGTTCGATATATACGGCCTTGATATTATGTTTAGTTGTGGTTAAAATGAGAGTTTGGATGTCGGTATTATACAAGATATTCTTGTTTCATCATCTATTTTTGACCTGTTATAGTCTCTATTAAAATCTCCCATAATGTATCTTTAATTGACAGGATTGTATTTAAAGTAGGGTAGATATATTTCAAGCGCAAGTTTTCGTATCTGGGACACTGGAACAGAAAATGAAATGTATTTCTTACCGTAGAAAGAAAACATTACATTGGGTGCATAACCTTTGTATTGTCCTCTCTCTAGTTCCAGTTTGTGTGAGCTGAGTTGCAGAAGGTAACCAGCCGGGTGGTTTATTAACAACATAGCGAGGCCACCTATTTGGCTCTTGTATGATTATAATACCTAGGTCGTACAGCAGTATACAAATATCTCATACATGCATATTAATGTGAAAAGTTATACGTAATTACTCACAATATTACTTAAAGAGCACATAAGACGAAAACCTAAATTGCATGGACTTGTAGCCAGTGGTTACTATATGCACTTTATCGCAAGTTAACATCAATCTGATTAAAATTAAATCAGTTATCTTCACTCAAAGTCGCAAATATAGACCTGTCGTAAAAACGACTTTGTCAATTATCGAAAACACTCTTAATCCGCCTAGACGTCAGTGACGTCACAGTGACCAAATGCATATTAGGGATGTTTATTCCTTAATTATCTATATACAGCCAGCGTGTGTATTCATTGACGCCTTACTGGTTCTTTAATCCCCTGATTAAATAATACAATTGACTACGTCATAATTTGTTTTGTAATTTATTTTAATTTAATTTAAGATCCAATTTAGAATTTGTTTTATAATGTCCCGCTCTCTCTTCTCACGGCAGCGATTTTAAAACTGTGTTTGAAAGTGACTTATTGATATAGCCCCTCTACCATCGTGTGCAGTTCAAACGATTCGAGATACATTTCGGTCAGAAGAGTATTCTGGTTCTAATTTTCCTGAATAAAAGAGCACAGGAGTAAAAAGATGTATCATAAAAGTCAAACATGATTGAAACGCGATTTTTAAATGACGATCCGTTATCAGAGTAGCCAACTGTATCTCGTTTTCCTGTAGACATCGTAAGACGCCTTTCTTTCTCCGTGTGGATTTGACTTCATTACTCTAAAGTAGACCGTTTAAATGAAATAAGAAAATATCTCAATATACGTTAGAAGTAACAGTACAAATAAATTTTTGGTAACCCATCTAAATCAAATAAATCAATCTAACTATCTTTGTGTATTGATAATAAAGTGGCAAGTGTAGTGTCGTTAATATCTGTCATAAATGATCCGACTAAAGTTGCACAGCTCTTTGTGCCTAATGATATATGTGTTACCTGTATAAAAAATGTTTAGACACAGGCTGGTATAGTTTTCGTCTGGTTTGAATATCAAACGTCCAATTTAGGTTCCTTTTGTTTTTTAAAAAAAAATGAATGTTCATATTATAAAATTTTCAAACTATACCTTTCTCTGTAGTAAATATTATAATATATATATATCAAAATATTACATTTACACAATATTATTTTCTATTTTCAAAACGATATAGATTTAAAGATGGCGTTTGGTTCAATGCTCCTAGTAGTAAATGTGGTCATCTTGGCCGCCTACATCCAACAAAAGTTCTTTAGTGGGGACAAACTTGAATCTCACTTGGCGAAAGAGATCGACACAGCATACGACTATATTATAGGTAAAGCATACACTGTTCTCGTGTTATTTGTATTAAAGTGATGATCCTCCACTCTCTTTTGAAACGCAAATTCTTTTTCTAGTGATGTGATTAGTATGATAAATGTTTGTTCCTTTCGCAACGGTCTTTGATCGGGCCTAAAAGTGGGAACACCAACGCATCAACTTCAACGCCATTACATCCGTGCATGTTGATTGGACAACTACAGTCATAGTCATAGGCTTTCGCGTTCTTTACCTCCGAATAACTAAACCGACACAAGTGGGATTAGCTACATTTTCTAGCTGATTTGTGTTACTAAACCCTTTATCAATCTCAGCAGTAATGTAGATTCGAATTGATTTAAAATCATTTTATTAATAAATGGAAACAATATTTTTTGTCTTTTTAAAACCTTTCCGTGTGCTTGAATACTATTTCTTCAAATTTGTCTCTTTCAGTAGGGTCTGGGTCTGCTGGATCTGCATTAGCCAATCGGCTGTCTAAAGATTCTAGTCTGAAAGTCCTGGTACTGGAAGCAGGAACCGATGATCAACAACCGTCGGCTAACATTTTAAAGGTTCCTATGATGTGTGGATTGGCCCAGAAGACAGAATACGATTGGCAATATCATTCGGTGCCTCAAAGGAATTGCTGCAAGGGTTTGCAGGGACAGGTATGACTTCGGCTATGCATCTGATTTGACAAATACTGAGACGCAATGAAGACACTGCACTCTGAATGTAATAACTGTATCAGATCAAGACGATAACTCGTGGCTCTGTGGACGACGCAACGACATGCCAATGTTGACACCTGATCACCGAGAGTGGGCCATGGTTTCAATTCAAGAAGGCATGGGTACTGAAAACTAATAATATACTCAGCCAAATTAAAAACTTGACACTCGGGATTTTTGGGACTAGATTTTTAATATTTGGTTTAAGGCAACTATTTTAGTGTTATGTTGTGCACAGACGACCTTGACATCAACAGAAAGCAAGAATATGTCTCGCCGAAAGTCCTTGACATTGATAACGTTCGTGATGTCACAGTACCCCCCAAAATGAAATTCACAGACTTGGAGAACAATTGGAATAAAGTGTTTAGTAACGGTTGTGGCCTGCTCTAGCGTCTCGTACTGCCACACAACGTCTTCTCATGGAGCTCAGAACATTAGTAAACACTACCCGAGGAAGACGTCGCCACTGCTCAGCAAGAGCATGTTGAAGGTCCTGCAACGTCAGTGGTGGATTCACTTTCTGACGAACACGTCGACCCAGTTCGTCCCAGATGTGTTCAATAGGATTAAGGTCGGGGCTAAGCGACGGCCAATCCAGGACTTGGACACCGGCATTTCTTAAAAAATTCTGGGTAGCAATTGCTGTATGGGGTCGAGCATTGTCTTGTTGAAACGTTAGTCCAGGCCCATGTCTCTGCATAAACGGAAGAAGAACAAGTTGCAAAATCTGATCCCTGTAATGGACACCATTTAAGTTCCCTTGGACAACAAGAGGAGAACGTCCATGTGCACAAAAAGAACCCCAAACCATGACGCTGCCGCCACCAAATCGGTCAACTTCTCTGACGCATACTTGAGCGTAACGTTCACCTCGTCTGCGGTACACTCGGGCCCTGCCATCGGCAAATCTCAAAGTGAATCGAGATTCGTCACTAAAGACAACCGAATTCCACTGTCTTTGAGTAAATCTTATGTGTCTTGTGGCCCACACAAGTCGGTTACGGCGATGAAGAGGTGTCAATATTGGTCCATTTTAGGGCCTCCGAGCTCGAAGACCAGCAGCCTGCAAGCGATTTCGAACAGTTTGTGCAGTTACCCTTCCACCAAACATCTCTCTACTTGTGGAGGTTGCAGTGACAAATCTGTTTCTAAGATGACGTAATCGTATTGCTTGATCTTCCTGGAGTGACGTCACACGTGGCGCTCCCGCCCTTGGGCGGTCGGCAATAGTTCCAGTTTGACGCACTCTCATTCTAAGATTAATTATTGTCTGGCGTGAACAATTAAAGGCTCTTGCAACAGTGACCACAGACTGACCAGCATAGAGTCTACCTATAGCACGTAGACGTTCCACTTTCGAAAGGCGCGGCATTTTCTAACAAAGATGAAAATAACAATTTTAATTTGTTTTTCCAGTTCAAGTTACGTGTGCGTGTTCAGTTTAAACAAACTTGCATCGATTGACCTCACGAGTTTGTGTTTGCACGTGTTTTTCAGGTTTTTCATCTTTATATGCTCAAAAGTCACGTGATCCATTATTTAAAGCAAAAGTACATCGTGATTGGCTTATTTCATCTAATTAGTAAAATAATATGTACCTGATCAGACATAATACGTGTGTAGCAATAATATTTTCAGTTAGCTGATAGTAGTGAGAGTGAGAGAACTTCGATCAGTTGACTAGCTGGTAGTTCACTAATTGGTAGTTGACTAGCTAACCTGTGGACAGTGTGCTTGACACGGCATATACTGGACAGTGTGTTTTTGTTACCCCTACGTGATCGCCCTGTTTCTTCTACAAATTGAAAACAAGTATGGCTGTCGTTTAGGGCGTTACCTATTTTTTTTATTTAATTATTTCTGTAGTTTTGTAATTGGAGTTCAGCTTTTAGGAGTAGTGTCTTGTTTGTGGCTCACCGAGTCACTTATCAGACGATCTCCTCCATAGTACCCTGCATGGTACAATGTATTTGTTGGTCTGCTTTGTGTAGAAAAATAGGATGTTAAAACCCATTTCATTTCTTTCATTTCAGAGACTTAGTATCGCGAGGGGTAAAGTTTTAGGTGGATCCAGTCAAATAAACTATAACATTTATGTCCGAGGTCATAGAAAGGATTATGATGGCTGCGATGGATGGAGCTATTCTGAAGTCTTGCCATATTTTATTAGATCAGAAAATATTCAACCATTCAAACATATGGATAAAGGTAAAATAGTACCGGACAATATTTTATACTGTCATGTATAAAAGTAGTATGGAGGGTACTTTATTAATTTTGAGAATAGGGTTATCACTCCTTGGTAAAGTTTACCAGAGTTATTTCCCCTTGCCGAAAAAAGCTTGACTGTATGGCGAGATATGTAGATTATGGTTACAGCAGTAGCTGGATTATAGCAATCTCGTAATGAATACATGATGTGGCAGTTTTTTTTTATTTCAATTCCCGTGGCCATCGTTAATTGTTTTGCAGAATTGACTTTTTATATTTTTAGAGTATCATGGTACAAATGGTTCGCTTGGCGTTTCTGAATCTCATGTTACAGATTTTCCTAGTTTTATGATAAAAGCTGGTAAGGAACTGGGGTATAGAACTGGTGATTATAATGGTAGGGAACAAAAAGGTATGTTAATTATAAATACCATGGATGGAATATATGAAATAACATAAATACTATCGATACCATCGAATACGATGGATACCCAGTTCGATAAATAACATAGGTGGAATGTTCCATAAATACCGCAATTAGAATATTCCAAAAATTACTGGGGGTGGAAATAGGGTATAAATATTATGGACGAAATATAACATAAATACCATGGATAGGGGTTATTTAAACACTATATGGTATCCATATGTATTTTTTTCTTCTAATATCTGCCATTCTTTGTTTTGATATAAAGACTATAAATTAATATTTTGTATGCAGGATTTTTTGCTTCACAAGCTACTATACAAGGCGGTGAAAGGTGTAGTACGGCTAAAGCCTTCTTATGGCCAGCTGTTACAAGTCGCAAAAATCTTCACGTTCTGACAAACGCCCACGTTAAAAAGGTAAGTATGGTCTTTTTTTTATTTTTGACACATCCCTTTACGTATTTTTATCCCAAAGCCCATGTTGATAGAGGATCAGCACTTCTATGTTGATAAAGGATGAGCACACTAGGGTTTTTTTCTCTTTCAGGTAGTTATAAAGAACAAGAAAGCTGTTGGTGTAGAATTTTATCACAAAGGAACACTGAAGTCTGTTTCTGTAAATAAAGAGATTATTCTATCAGCTGGTGCTTTGTCTTCTCCTCAGATTTTAATGCTGTCGGGGATTGGACCTAAAGAACACCTGAAGTCACATGGGGTAAATCACTTTAGTTGAAGATTTGTTCTCAAAGCCACTGTGCGTCATTTGCATTATCAAACTATCCAAGGTTTATTTCACACTAAAATATGCTTAAAGGGGCAGTAAGTAAGATTAGATAAAGAGCGCACAATTCCCGATATATCGGCGAATCAATTACAGTCTACCCTCGATTGTCATTGCTACTGCTCTTACGATGATAAACAAGGCTTTGATTATCCATTTTACGGTAACCGCATCGACGGCAAAACATATTTAGATCTACTTAATATCAGAGCCATCCAATTGCATCGAGAGCTGATTATGGGCTTAGTAAGTTAATTAGTGTTCAGTGAATAATTTATACAACATCTAAGGACTAAAGAAAGACCTGTAATATCAAGATCTAGCTCTTGCATAATGCCCGTTTAAATTGATTATTTATTATTTGATGTAAGAAAGAACTATCAAAGATGGAAATTCTACCGGTTCGAATCAGTCGGATTCTAAAAGGACCCATTAAAGGATTTCAATGTTGGCTTGGGTGAACTATTTCATAAGCCATATATATATATATATATATATATATATATATATATATATATATATTCCAAATTTCCCAACATTGTATTTCTATAAGGAAATGAAATGAAATGGGGTTTAACGTCCTACTGTTCTGCTCCGAACTTGGCTAATGAAGACAAGCATATGCCATACAGTGTGCTATGAGGGAAATTTTGCCGGGACAGCGGCACTACGATCTACTCTTATATCGAATTGCAACTGTCAAGGGATCTTTTACGTGCACGCCAATGTGTACATGGGACCTTGGTTTACGTGCCATCCGAACGACTAGACAGCTGTCCTTGTCAGGCCCTCCTTCCTGCATCACAGACAAGGGGGAACCACGCCGGAAAATCTGGATGAACTTTCTCGGCCAATGCAGGGATCGAACACCCGACCTCCAGGCTAGCGTATTTCTATAAGGGATTCAAAATCTCCTTGTATTGTTCATATGCCTGATTGTCATCAAATTGTTTATATGTCTGACGCTGTTTTTTAACGTTTTTTGCGCATGATATAGTGTAATAAAACTTGATGACAATGCAAAATAATTGGTTGTCTATTTCAGATACCAGTCGTAGCTGATTTACCAGTGGGTGATAATTTACAAGATCATATTAGTTTTGTGAGCTACTATAAAACAAAAGAGCTCGTCTTTAATTCTCCTAACAAAACCAAATCTTTATGGACGTTAGCCCAGTATTTAACAACAAAATCAGGTAGCTACAGATAATCATATGAGTACATTCCGATTTTCGTTTGGTGGAGGAGCTGTATCATTTTTGCACGAAAAATGAAGCTAGCTAACTTTACCAGATAGGGTCCGATCCACATTTATTAGTGAAATTCGCTAAGAAGTAAAATGTGTACATTGACTGATCTGATAGTGTATTATTCATCACAACTCTTATTTAATTATAATAATATATATTAGTTTGATATTTATTAGTTTTTATGAATCGTTAATAGTTAAAAAAAATGTGTTTTTGTAAATAGTATACACTGAGAGCAGCTTTATTTAGTTTATATATATGATGATATATATTATATGTATGATGATATATATTATTATTAATTTGGTGTGATGATGAATAATACACGACATTCTGGGGGGTTGGATGGCCGAATGGTTAACTCGTGTGCGCTTTATCATAAGGCCTGTCATTGAGTCAACTGGCGTGGTTTCCAATCCCAGGATGTACGTGACAAGGAGTAGGGTCGCCTGTCCAGCCTCGTGGATTTTCTCCAGGTCCTCCGGTTTCCTTCTACTGCTAAAGACCCTATACGCACAAGCGAATTATTGAAATAAAATTAAACGATATGTTAGTCCTTAAAATGACCTAGTTTGTGTCGAGTGGACGTTAAACCCATCTCTCTCTATCCATACGGATACGCGATGCGGACCAGGAATTTACGCTTGCCAAAATGTATGCTATTGTCGGGTTATGGAAATGGCGAAACATTATATGGCCACTATCAGCCACCATAGTATTGGAGAAAATCTGCGTTAGAAAATCGTGAGTAGAAAATCTGAAGTGGAAAGTCGAGAGTCAAAAGTTGACAATAGAAAGTAGAAAGCGGGAAGTCAAAAGTTGATAGTAGAAAGGAGAAATTTTATCCATGAAAGTAGAATTATGATTGATGTTTCTACTAACTAAGTACATACATTTATAGGTTCTGCTTTTTACTGTTGACTTTCTGCTTTTTACTCTAGATTGCATTTTGAACCCGATACCCCGCCATAATAATCATACCCTTATTTAATTCTGCTCAATACAGCTTTTCTTCGAGTAAGACGGCAACTCGCTAACTATGAACTACAAGGTTCGGTCCCTCCACTCACCAAAAAGATTTCACGGGGTTTTACAGCCTGGTTTCCCCTAGCAACACCGGTAAAGCTCGGCAGAATCAGGTACACTACATCTAACCGAACAAGAAACAGTATCCATTCGTTCGAGTAGAGTTCGCAATAAGGACAGACCGCAGTGCCGTTATCGGGGCAAAATTTCCTTCATAGCACAATGACTGGTTGCATGGTGCAGAAAGATAGGACGTTAAACCCAATTCGGTTCAAATTTTCATTTCGATGCGGTTCAGCTTCGGTACTGGTTAGGTCCAATTCAATGTTATAGACTGGGTCCAATGTCAAGTAATTTACTGGGTTCAATTTCAAGTAATTGAATCAGTTCAGTTTCAACTAATTGATTCGGTTCTATTTCAAAGTAATTGACCGAGTTCATTTCAAGTAATTTACCGAGTTCAGTTTAAAGTAGTTGATTTTCAAGCAATTGATTCGGTTCAATTTTAAGTGAATAACTAGGTTATATTTCTGTGCTTGTTAATAATCGATTAACTTTTACTTTTTAATGACACAAGATTGCATTATATTTTGTTCAGGTGTGTTGACTACACCTGGTGGTGTAGAATCATTAGCTTTTATTTCAACGGACTCTAAAAGACCCGAATATCCAGATTTAGAAATTCTTGGAGTAGATTTGCTTTTTAACGAAGACGCGATACGAGTAGACCCGAAGGTGAGAATAAATTGCGTAATCTTTATAAAAACAAAGTTGTTTTGATTGTCTGTTTGTGGATGGGAGTGTCTCTAGAGGAAACCATGCGGTAGAACTTATGGATTTCACTACCGGTGTCTAATATATGACTTTCAGGAGGCGAAAAATTTGAATCATTTAGTTAGATTTATAAATGATTTTTGAGCGGTTTAATATCGAACAGGGCTGATATTCGCATTTCAGTCCCTAAATTGATTAATGATGTGTAATCTACTTTTCTGTAAAATTGTTCATCATTCTACATACGCTAAACACACAATGCTCATTATCAAACTCAGTCAAGGTATTGATGTAATGAATCTACAAACCAAGTTCCATCACCTTTGATAAAACATTTTCTTTTACAGTATGCCAAGCATTATTCTGGTGTAAACGATGTGAACGGTTTTACTCTGGTTTATACTTTATTAAGACCAAAAAGTCATGGTACAGTTCGTCTAAACAGTACCGATGCCATGCAACATCCGATCATTGATCCAAGATATTTAGAAAACAAGGAAGATGTGGAGGGCTTGCTACGAGGTTTGTCAATTTTAGCTCTACAAATATTGTTTGTAAGTCATTTAGTGATAGGAGAACATTAAAATAACACAAACACGACTTTATGGATAACAAAATCACTAGCAACTACTTTAATAATTACCAAGGTTTAGGTTTTATTCCATTGTAAATACCAGTCCAAAATGGTTCAATTCCATTCATTATTTACAAAGATATCATGGTTACACCCTTTTTTGCTTATTTCAATACAGGTGTACGTTTTAATTTATGTCATTACAGGTGTTCATTTTTACATATACTCAGCCAAATTAAAAACTTGACACTCGGGATTTTTGGGACTAGATTTTTAATATTTGGTATAAGGCAACTGTTTTAGTGTTATGTTGTGCACAGACGACCTTGACATCAACAGAAAGCAAGAATACGTCTCGCCGAAAGTCCTTGACATTGATAACGTTCGTGATGTCACAGTACCCCCCAAAATGAAATTCACAGACTTGGAGAACAATCAGAATAAAGTGTTTAGTAACGGTTGTGGCCTCCTCTAGCGTCTCGTACTGCCACACAACGTCTTCTCATGGATCTCAGAACATTAGTAAACACTACCCGAGGAAGACGTCGCCACTGCTCAGCAAGAGCATGTTGAAGGTTCTGCAACGTCAGTGGTGGATTCACTTTCTGACGAACACGTCGACCCAGTTCGTCCCAGATGTGTTCAATAGGATTAAGGTCGGGGCTAAGCGACGGCCAATCCAGGACTTAGACACCGGCATTTCTTAAAAAATTCTGGGTAGCAATTGCTGTATGGGGTCGAGCATTGTCTTGTTGAAACGTTAGTCCAGGCCCATGTCTCTGCATAAACGGAAGAAGAACAGGTTGCAAAATCTGATCCCTGTACTGGACAGCATTTAAGTTCCCTTGGACAACAACAAGAGGAGAACGTCCATGTGCACAAAAAGAACCCCAAACCATGACGCTGCCGCCATCAAATCGGTCAACTTCTCTGACGCATACTTGAGCGTAACGTTCACCTCGTCTGCGGTACACTCGGGCCCTGCCATCGGCAAATCTCAAAGTGAATCGAGATTCGTCACTAAAGACAACCGAATTCCACTGTCTTTGAGTAAATCTTATGTGTCTTGTGACCCACACAAGTCGTTTACGGCGATGAAGAGGTGTCAATATTGGTCCATTATAGGGCCTCCGAGCTCGAAGACCAGCAGCCTGCAAGTGATTTCGAACAGTTTGTGCAGTTACCCTTCCACCAAACATCTCTCTACTTGTGGAGGTTGCAGTGACAAATCTGTTTCTAAGATGACGTAATCGTATTGCTTGATCTTCCTGGAGTGACGTCACACGTGGCGCTCCCGCCCTTGGGCGGTCGGCAATAGTTCCAGTTTGAAGCACTCTCATTCTAAGATTAATTATTGTCTGGCGTGAACAATTAAAGGCTCTTGCAACAGTGACCACAGACTGACCAGCATAGAGCCTACCTGTAGCACATAGACGTTCTACATTTGAAAGGCGCGACATTTTCTAACAAAGATGAAAATAACAATTTTAATTTGTTTTTCCAGTTCAAGTTACGTGTGCGTGTTCAGTTTAAGCAAACTTGCATCGATTGACCTCACGAGTTTGTGTTTGCACATGTTTTTCAGGTTTTTTTAATTTTTATATGCTCAAAAGTCACGTGATCCACGTGACTTTACAATTTTATGAAATTAATGGCTTCTTACTACTTACTATCGTTAGAAACACTTTAAAATTTATTTAACTTACCAGAAAAAAAAATTTGTTGAAATTCATCAGTGTCAAGTTTTTAATTTGGCTGAGTATATGTCAGTACATGCGTTCATTTCTTACTTATATCATTACAGGTATTCGTTTTTCACAGAAACTGACTAACACCAAGACTTTCAAATCTCAGGGACCTGAATTTTTCCATAAACCATTTTCACCATGTTTAGAAAAATCTAAATTTGATAGTGATGAATATTGGCGATGTTATATAAGGTATTTTACAATGGTTATCTTTCATTCGACCGGAACTTGTAAAATGGGACGTACAGAAGATCACACCACGGTAGTGGATCCCCAACTAAGGTAAGTTCTCTACCACAAGATATTCTAGTGTTGTTTTTTTTTAAGCACTTTACTTTTTTCTACATTATCTCAGGTTTCAATCCCGGCGTCTCCCGAGAAAAGAATCTAACGATTTCCCAAGACCGGTTCCCACTTGTCAGAGGTAGCTCTTGTGGTCCGACAAGTAAAATACTGGAATGAAAAACGGTTGTAAACACGTAAGAGAAACCTTCCAAAAGATGAAATTCGTTGAAGAAGAGACCATTGTCTGGGCACAATTTCTATCATAGCGCAGTGCCCATGCGCATCTTCGATACCCTGGTTAGTGCAGAAAAGTAGGACGCTAATCCCCATTTCATTAGTCTATGTTAACTCTTCACTCAGTGGACACCAACCAGTTTGCCCTTGCGAAACCCAAAAATTAAAATGGCCTGATGTGTATTTATTTTAATTAGTATTTTATTTATTACAGAGTGAAAGGCATCCATGGACTGCGAGTAGCTGATGCTTCTATCATGCCATCCATAGTATCTGGCAACACTAACGCACCGTGTATAATGATAGGTGAAAAAGCCGCGGATATGATTCTAGGTATAAAACCACCAACACCTCTATCAGATATGTAGCTGTATATACCATAACAGAGTCTTAATCGTTATACGTATCTTTGTGTTCAACTTTGTGTTCGACCGTTATAATTATCAGAGGTTTAAACCGTTATAACTATCAGGATGTTTACCCGTTAGGACTATCAAAGTGTTAAAACATTATAATTATCACAGTGTTAAGCCACAATAATTATTAGAGTTAAACCGCCAGGATTATCCGAGTATTAAACCATTATAGCTGCCACAGTATTATACTGTTATAACTATCCGAGTGTTAAACCGTGTTACACCACTATAACTATCGGCGTTAAAACGTTACCATGGTTTTAAACCGTTAGGACTATCAATTTCTTAAAGGGCCAATCCCGATAATATTTTGGAGAATAAAACTGGTTAATTTTGTGTTAAAATCCCTTAAAATCCTCTACCTTAGGGCCGAGCAACTAACTCAATATATTTGATACGTTTTCAAACAACTTAAACCCGTCAGTCTTAATCTGGAAGAGGGGACTGGTGCCCCAAGCTGTATTATGCAGTGTCTGGATAAAACCAGACTTTTATTTTATAAAAATAATGTGTAGGTGAAATTTACCTTTCGTTATCAAGTACAGCACATGGGTCATTCACTATATAAACCTCTAAAGGAACGGGAATCGATTATCAGGTCACCGATCGAAAGAATTGACCCAAAATCTTAAAAGGGTTACGTGTCCGGATAAGCAGTTTTGAAGTTCACGTCGAAATGACTCAATATTTTGAGCTGAAATTTTAAGACAGTGTATATATTTTGGCGCTTAAATTTCATACGTACTCTGACTTTTATTTTTGAGTCTCTGTTCAATTCGGGATAGTCCCTTTAAACTGTTAGGTCTACCACTGTGTTAAACCGTTATAACTATCGGAGTTTTAATTCGTTACAACTATCAAAATGTTTACTCGTTATAATTATCAATGTGTTAAACCGTTACAACTATCAGAGTGTTTACTCGTTATAATTATCAGTGTGTTAAACCGTTACAACTATCAGAGTGTTTACTCGTTATAATTACCAATGTGTTAAACCGTTACAACTATCAATGTGTTAAATCGTTAGAACTATCAAAGATTTCAACCGTTAGAACTATCAGAGTGCCAAACCGCTAGGTCTATCATAGTGTTCAACCGTTAGAACTATCATAGTGTCAAACTGTTATAACTATCCCCATCTTTATTAATCTTTTCTAAACCCATGCCATATCATTAGATCTATTTTCAATCGGTGTTCCACATGACTTCGTCTTGAGATCTCTCCCATTTATTGTACATTTACCGAATAGATTTTCATTGTACAAAATGGCATGTCGTTTCAAAGACTTTAGTTTGATCGACATTAGGCACTGGAAGTCAAATAGATTTAAATAGATTCAGGAATTCAGTCTGTGGATTCAAGGATTTTATACAGATGTATATTTCGTTTTGTTTTTTTGTACTTTCGGTGGCCTACATTTCAAGAAGATCTGACCGGTTGTACTGGAATGAAGTGTCAGGGGTCGTGCGAACGGCTTTTGACTCTATGACGTCAGATATTGATTAATCAATCAGCTTTGACGTTTCTAGTGCATCGCACGCCAAGAACTCGCCTTAACAGACCGTTTCATTGGCTAATCCCTCACTTCAACCAGAACCTCGGTAATATAACAACTCTTCCAGATCCTAGTGTAGTAAAGACAAGTAAAACTCAAATGGCGTTCAGAGATTTTGGTTAATAAAGATATGCGTACTAAATGATTTATACTTTTATGTTGATCTAAAGTGTTACTTGATGCACAAGCTCTGTACCATTAATATTTAGTTTGTTTACCAGGTTTAGTTTCAGTTTTAGTTAACTGTATCGACAATATTATATAATCGCCTTGATGTTTGAATAACAATTATGGTGTGAGTAAATAAAGTTGATATTGGTCACATTACAACAAATTATAGACCTGGTTACATTACAACAGAGTATAGGCCTGGTCACATTACAACAAATTATAGACCTGGTTACATTACAACACAGTATAGGCCTGGTCACATTACAACGGAGTATAGGCCTGGTCACATTACAACACAGTATAGCCCGATCACATTACAACGAAGTACGGGCCTTGTAACATTACAACACAGTATAGGCCTGGTCACATTACAACAGAGTATAGACCTGGTTACATTACAACAGAGTATAGACCTGGTTACATTACAACACAGTATAGTATAGCCCGATCACATTACAACGAAGTATGGGCCTTGTAACATTACAGCAAAGTATGGGTCTGGTAACATTACAGCAGAGTAGTGCCCCAGTCACATTACAACAGAGTATAGGCGTGGTCACATTACAGCAGGGCTTGTCTCATTTATTAAGCTTAAACATACATCATGCAAGAGCAAAATATACCTATTGCAGGTCCTTTGTAGGCCTCAAATGTTATATATACTATCATGGGCCGTATATAGGTGGACAGCTCGCGCGAGACACGACGAGACCTCAATGTCAACGGCAAATCAAGCGATGTGATTTTTGACATTGCGGGATTTAATACAGATTAATTTCTCGAACTCCTCCTTAGAATTTACGGTATTCTTATAGTTGGATGGTCATTTTTCAACCCGATAAGTATTCCTATCCGTTAGTGACGAATTTCTCCAGTTTAGAACTTTGAAATTTCCAAATGCAGAAGTTGAAAATTGTGAAATGATCGATTTCAATATTTTCGTAGTTTTTGTAAGCATTTTGGTTTTGCTTAATACTCCAAATTCCGCATGAATGAAGGATTTTAAAATTATGAAAATAAAGTTCGGGTATAATACTGTCCGGAATGATGATTAATTGTGTTTTAATAGGTTTGTTTTTAACGAAAACTCGACATGGTATGATACATTTACACCCCAATCATCAGTTAGTAGTCTATCAATGTATGCGTTGCAAAATAAAAGAGTAGCAAGATTAATAAAAATATTATGAATTGATTTCCGTTTCTTTGCTTTTAAACTTAATACTGGTAATTGCGCGAGGGGAATTAATTTTATTTTAATCATGATTTTTTGCCGCGGCACAGAATTCTAAAGGCTTCGTGGACGTTGCCTGTCCATCTATACACGGTCCATCATGATACTATGAATTAGACATTTATTAACAAAACAGGACCATTATCAACTCTCGATGGCATAGTAAACTTGAGATTGTATTAGATTAGTACGGTTCGCCATTTAAAAATTTAATTTTAAAATGGGAAAGCCTCGAATATACCAGTGCCCGGGTTGTCACTATGCACACATCTTGTCAAAACTACAATCTTGGCTCAGTGATTTGAATGAAATTTTCAATATTTTCATTTTACATTACCTATTTTCGAAAAATTATAGCAAGAATGGTCAGCTCTTTATCTAAATCTTACATAATGTATCTTTAAGATTTTATATGGTCACCTGCATATTGATAGGCGATGCTCCTTCCACCACTGGAAAAGCTAATTAACTTTGTAGATTGACATAGCCGAGATCCATGAACCGCAAATATTCGTTACCACGGCTTCGGGTGTATCTTTATAACAGGGATGGGGCGGGTAGCATTGATCTGTAAGGAAGGCGACGTCACTTGGCAAAATATCATGGTGGCACGGGACATACGTAATTCAAAGTTTACACCATTCATTTACGCGTCACCTTTTATTGGTTGGACAGACGACCCTATACTCCATGTCGCTTCAAACAACTAGAACCCCCAGCCCGGTTGTGAATATGAATGGTACAATGACCATACAGTACTGTTATAAATAGAAATAGATTCGCGAGTAAATTCATTGTATACACGCAAACGGTTGATATCTGTTAGTTGAAGTCGTCTCGTTGTGAGGGTAAGTCTAAACATTATTATTATACATTGGCCCATTAGAATACATTGCCGAGTAATGAAAACTTAAATTGTCTCTGTAACATTTGTATAGAATTTGTGTAGCCTTTCGATGAACACAGGGACATTATTTTGTTTTTGAGTACTGCGCGCGGTCCTCGTGTTCTTGATAATATATAGCCATTCGTAGTACATAATGTTTTGAACCTCGCTTACTACACTTTATTATGTTTACGAGTACTGCGATCCTCGTGTACTTGATATCAGAGACTAATTAGCCCTTCGTAGTACACAGAATGTTTTTCACTTTATTTTTTCGAAATTCTATCCGGTTTATCATCCTTATTATTGTTAATGTTTTGGCTTATCGCCATCATGAAACGCCATTCATTCAGCAGATGGCAACCTTTCGCAATTTTTGATTGTGGGTTAAAGGTCAGGGGACTGTACAATAAGCAGTTAATTTGACGCTTACAGCTGGCCCCTGGATCCATTCACTTGATTTGTTGTTTATTGCTTGCCATGCCTCGCGGATTTGTTTGGGAGAAGTCTGGTGTTTACTATCGAAATGTTTTTACTAACATAAATAGTGTTTGATCTGCTGTTATATTCTCGCACATTGCATGAATACTGCTCGAATCGTGTGCATAAAAGAAGTGAAATTAATATCACTGTGACTGCCGTTAATCTCCGTCCCATTTGATGACACGGGTGGAGTTTAACGACCTACTTTACTGCACCGCAAGCGGGTCCGGATTAATGAAGATGGGTGTCCGCAAGGCCAGATCTAAATATTAAGGCCGCTTGCAGATTTTCTCAAGGTCATGAGACGTAAACAGGACTAGGGCACGTGATTGTTGCCGGGAATCGTGTGTTAGGGTTAGGTCTAGGTCTTGGGTTAGGATAAGAATTAGGATTAGCGCTAGCTCTGTCTACACCTTGACCAAATATCTACTCACGCTGGGTAATATTGAGGAACTTTCTCGTCCAATGATGGGATTTAACCTTTGACCTCCTGGTTAGTGCGCCTTACAGGGAGTCAACAAATATCAGTTTTCAATCAAAAGTTGAGAGCCCTAATTACAATCCGTCTTTATTAGCCCAGTAGGACTTTAAACCCCATTTCATTTTATTTCTAATTTTAATCTACAAAATACAGCTAAATTATTAATTTATTAACTTGCCAAGACGATAATCAACTCTTGATGTCATCGGATGATCTAGATTTTCAACGGATTTATACACAATTGACGATTAATGGTTTAATTAAAAAATGGATAATCTATACTTAGTTTATTATCGTGACAAATGTAGCCTTGACAATCTGGAATCCGCTATTCTCTAAACAGCCCTTATAACGTCGCTCAGAATGAAATAATTTGACTGAATTTTTCAAGATATTCCCTTTTCATTATCTAGTTTTATCTGTTATAACGAGAACTTTCAGTTCATTATATGAATCTTATATATAGAGGTCAGGGCACAAGAACGGGCGGATCCAGAGGGCGGGGGTGGGTCCACGGGAGTGTGCTTTATCCTTATCATCAGATGGTAGGGTGGGATGGCCATTTCAAAGCGCGAAATATTAATATAGACATTTGTGACATCACAATAAATGCGTTGCATCAATGAAATTGAATCATAATGTGATCCTATTAAATTAATTCATAATAAAAATTGACGTCAAACGGGGTGTTGAATTTCTCTCTTTACACAGCTGAGTATGTATTTATGCCTACGTAATTTGGAGAAGATGATGGCATCATGCATTGTCAACTGTCAAATTTCCGCAACAGGAACTTGGCAAACCCCCTCCAGCAAAAATTTCTGGATCTGCCCCTGTGTCTATACGATTTACTGGTACAGTTTACGTCCAGTTTTTATAACATACGCCCAATTTGGTACGAAATTCAGGATTTATTTTGTTTAAAAATGAATTATCATATCATAAAATTGAATGTTTTATGACAATTAATTTCTATAGAGCATTGCTGTTTTTTTGTTGGTTTTTTTTTTTGCGGGGGGGGGGGGGTAAACTGTATCTTTCTCTCTCGTAAATATTATGTATTGATCAAAATATAACATTTACACGTATTTCTTTTGCCTTTAACAATATTATTTTCTATTTTTAGAACGATATAGATTTTAAGATGGCGTTTGGATCATTGCTCCTGGTAGTAAATGTGGTGATCTTGGCCGTCTACATCCAACAAAAGTTCTTTAGTGGGGATAAACTTGAATCTCACTTGGCGAAGGAGATCGACGCATCATATGACTATATTATAGGTAAAGCAAACCACACTCTGTGAATCGAAAATTGTATAAGAATCATGATCCTCCACCCCTTGAAACGCAAATTCTAATTCTATTGATTTCATTAATATGATGGATTTAGTTCATTTAGCAACAGTCTCTGATGGGACATAAAAGTAGGAACACCAACTATCAACGTCATTACATCCGTGCATGTTTGATAAGACAAATGCAGTCATACGCGCCTGTACTGAATCTACATCAAAACGGGGGTATGGGTAGCCGAATGATTAACGCGTACGCGATCGACCAGAAGGCCTGTCATTGAGTCAAGTGGTTTCGATTCCCCGCTTGTAGGTTACAAGGAGTATTAGAGCGGAAGCCCAGGGGGTTAACCTAGCTGAAAAGTGTACCAATTTTCTCCTATAAGGTATCAATGTATGTATATCTGGTATCATCAGAATGTGGGTCTGCTGGGTTTCTGGTGGTGGGTGTGGTATTCCAATGTACCCTACATCTTTAGGTATTACAAAAAACACTCTAACGGACATTTCTAGTGGTGGGGTACCCCTGACAGAGCTATGTAATTGCCAGACATGTGTAGTGATGGAGTATCCCTGACAAGAGTTATCTAATTTCCAGACCAAAGCTAGGCTAGATTAGCTCAAATCTGTACCACCTAAAACAGCTTTGGAGTTGATCAGTACCACGAGAGGAATCATGAATGACCACTGCCAGACAGTTTGTGCAGTGGGTTACCCCTAATAGACACGCCCAAAATGCCACGCCCTCCAACTAGGATAGATTAGCCGGCACTGTTCCCGTGGTCCAAAAATTTAAAAAGTGTGCCAGGATGCGTAGATTACTAATACCTAGCACGTATTGAAGAGGCGATAAACTGCGGTTGCAGGAACAACTTGTTTTTTCAAAAACGCATTTTTAGCCCCATAAAACGTTTTTTTCCCAAAAATCAATTTCTTGCAACCGCAGTTTATCGCCTCTTCTATACGTGCTAGGCATTAGTATTCTACGCATCCTGGCTAAAAAAAAAATTTTTAAAACACGGGAACAATGCTTGCGAAGTTAGCCTAGTTGGGGGCGTGGCATTTTGGGGCGTGTCTGTTAGGGGTAACCCACCGCACAAACTGTCTGGCAGTGGTCATTCATGACTCCTGTGGTGGTACTGAACAACTCCAAAGCTGTTTTAGGTGGTACAGATTTGAGCTAATCTAGCCTAGCTTTGGTCTAAATATTAGATAACTCTTGTCAGGGATACTCCTCTACTACAAATGTCTGGCAATTACATAGCTCTGTCAGGGGTACCCCACCACTAGAAATGTCTGTCACAGTGTTTTTGTAATACCTGAAGATGTACGGTACACTGTTGTACGATTTTCATTTGGTACACTTTTGAGCTAATCTAGCCTAGTTGGGGGTCATGGCATTTAGGGCGCGGAATACCACACCCACCACCAGAAACCCGGCAGACTTACATTCTGATGATACCAGATATACATACATTGATACCATATAGGAGAAAATTGGTACACTTTTCAGCTAGGTTGACCCCCTGGGCTCCCGGTCTATAGGGTTGCCTGCCCAACCTCGTGGGATTTCCCCGGGTCCTCCGGTTTCCCCAACCTGCTAAGCTAAAGACCGCTAGGCGCAAGCGAATTATATAAATAAAATTGAACCATATGTTAGTCACGAAATGGTATAAGTTGTGTAAAGTGTACGTTAAACCCCATTTTCCTCTTTCTTCCTCTGCAAAAAACAACCCTCTGGCTCATTTCAAAATCTATCTGCTCAGTTTAATTGTTCTATCTAAACATTGAAAATGAAATGAAATGAAATGGAGTTTAACGTCCTACTGTTCTGCTCCTAACCTGGGCTAATGAAGACGGGCATACGCCATACAGTGTGCTATGAGGGAAATTTTGCCCGGACAGCGGCACTACGGCCTACTCTTATATCGAATTCCAACTGCCAAGGTCTAAACATTGAAACTTTATAACGTATTTTGAGTGCAGACATTAACGTCGTCTGAGTATATCTAATTACTCTATAACAAGCTAGCTGGTTGATAATTGGAAGGACTAGACTGGGGGCTTTAGCGCTCTTTACCTCCGAATACCTAAACCGACACAAGTGGGATTAGCTACATTTTCTACTCTTTTGTCAGTGTCAACAGTAATGTAAATTCAAATTGATTTAAACCCATTTTATTAATAAATTGAAAAAATAATTTTGGTCTTTTTAAAAATTTTACGTGTGCTTTAAATCTAATCTTTTGTTGAATACTATTTCTTAAATTTGTCTCTTTCAGTGGGGGCTGGGTCTGCTGGATCTGTATTAGCCAACCGTCTGTCTAAAGATTCTAGTCTGAAAGTCCTGGTACTGGAAGCAGGAACCGACGATCAACAACCGTCCGCTAACATTTTAAAGGTTCCTATGATGTGTGGGTTGGCGCAGAATACAGAATACGATTGGAAATATTATTCGGTACCTCAAAAGAATTGCTGCAAGGGTTTGCAGGGACAGGTATGGCTTCTGTTATGCATCTGGTTTGACAAATACTGAGACGCAATGAGACCGCAACAGTCTGAATATAACACCGACATCAGATCATGATGATAACTCCTACAGTCATGTGGAGTACACAACAACATGCCAATGTTGACACCTGATCACCGACAATGGGGAATGGTTTCAGTTCAAGAACGCATGGGTACTAGAGCCACTTTAAACGGAGAACCAATAATTACACCATGTCCACCACATCGATCTTTATGATCTCTAATCCAGAAAAATCTTATGGACTTATGGACATTGAAACAGTTTGGTGACAGAGGTTGCAGTGTAGTTGCTCATAAATCGTAAAAAGGTTTAATTCTGAAGATCCAGGACTGTGAAATTTTGACTACTGTCAAATCACAGTTAAGTCAAATCACAGTTAAGGAATATTTATCGACTTTCAACTCACTGCGCTTGTGTATATAACCATTTTCTCATTGGCACTAATCCTCACTAAGTAAGGCACTGGGTCACTAATCAGATGATCACGGACAGCTGTCTATATAATCTTTCGGATCGGACGAAAAACCGAGGTCCCGTATACACATTGGCGTGCACGTAAACGATCCATTGGCAGTTGGAACTGTAGGCCGTACTGGCGCTGTTCGGGCAAAGCTTCGCTATATGGGTTATGTCCGTCTTTATTAACCCAGTCAGGGCAAATCAGTAGAAGGTTAAACCTCATTTCATTCCCTAATGAGTCACTTATCAGACAATCTCCTTCATAGTACCCAGTATGGTACAATGTGTTTATTGATCCGCTTTGTGTAGAAAAATAGGATGTTAAAACCCATTTCATTTCTTTCATTTCAGAGAGTTTCTATGTCGAGAGGTAAAGTTTTAGGTGGATCTAGTCAAATAAACTATCACCTTTATGTCCGAGGTCATAGAAAGGATTATGATGGCTGGTCTGAGGCTGGCTGCGATGGTTGGAGCTATTCTGAAGTCTTGCCATACTTCATAAGATCAGAAATTATTCAACCATTCAAACATATGGATAAAGGTAAAATTTCATATTCTGTTATATATAAAAGTAGTATATATTGAACTTTAGTAATTTTGACAATAGAGTTATCTCTCCCTAGTAAAGTTGACCATAATTATTTCTATTTGCCTGACAGAGGCGTGGCTGCATGATGAAATATGTTGATTATGTTTACAGCAGAAGCTGGATTATAGCTCTCTCGTAGTGAACACATGATGTGGCAGCTATTTTTATTTCAATTTGCGTGGCTATCGTTAATTGTTTTGCAGAATTAACTTTTTATACTTTTAGAGTACCATGGTACACATGGATCGCTTGGCGTGACTGAATCTCAAGTGACAGATTTTCCTAGTTTTTTCATAGACGCCGGCAAAGAACTTGGGTATGGAACTGGTGATTATAATGGTAGGGAACAAAAAGGTATGATAATTATAAATACCGTGGATGAAATATTAAATAACACGCATGTCGGTACATACCATAAATACCAGCAATATCATGAATAGAATGTTCCATAAATACAATGGAAATGAAATGAAATGAGGTTTAACGTCCCACTGTTCTGCTCCTAAACTGGGCTAATGAAGACGGGAATACGCCATACAGTGTGCTATGAGGGAAATTTTGCCCGGGCAGCGGCGCTGCGGCCTACTCTTATATCGAATTCCAACTGTCAAGGGATCTTTTACGTGCACGCCAATTTGTACACGGGACCTCGGTTTTTCGTCCCATCCGAACGACTAGACAGCTGTCCTCGTCAGGTCCTCCGTCCTGCACCACTGACACGGGGAAATAAATACAATGGGTCGATTGTTCTATAAATATCATGGATAGAATGTTCCATACATACTATAGATAAAATGACCCATAAATACCATGGATAGAATGTTCCATAAATATCATGGATTGAAAATACCAAAAATACTATGTATAGACTGATCGATAAATACCATGGATGCAATATACCATAAAAACTATCGATATACTGTTCGATAAAAACTCTTGATACCCTGTTCGATAAATACCATGGGCGGAATGTTCCATAAATACCGCGATTAGAATGTTCCCAAAATACCAGAGGTGGGAATAGGGTATAAATACAATGGACGAAATATAACATACACGGATAGGGTGTATTATAACACGAGATGGTATCCATATACATGAGATGGTTGGGATCTGTGGTGCTGCACTGTCATGGGTAAAGTCATATCTTCAAGATAGAACACAACAGGTCTGTGTCCCAACCCTGTTCCACAAGGATCTGTATTGGGACCTCTACTTTTTCTTCTATACATTCTTCCAATTGGTCAAATCATAGGAAGACATGGGGTACAAAACCACGGCTTGCTGATGACACCCAAATATATGACTACTTTCAACACAACAATTATCTTGCTTCCAAGGCTTCTATTAGTGGACTAGACATTCGAGGATGGATGACCAGAAATAGGCTAAAACTTAACGATGACAAATCCGAATTTCTTGTCATATCATCAAAATCACAATCCAGTAAATTGTTTAAAGCGGATTCCATTCAGATCAGTGATTGTTCAATATCTCCCAAGAAGCGGGCTAAAAATCTTGGCTATGTGACCGATGAATTTATGTCCCCAGTTCCCCAAATCAATAGTATCATACGGAAAATGCATCTTCAAATGAGAGCTATTTCGAGAATACGCTCTAATCTTAATACTGATGCTTGCCAGAGTGTTGTTAGAGCATTAGTATCATCGCAAATGGACTATGCAAATTCTCTTCTATTAGGAGCACCAGAACCAGCTTTAAACAGACTACAAATAGCGCAAAACAATGCTGCACGTCTCATAACTAGAACACGGAAATTTGATCATATATCAGCTAAGTTACAGAAAATCCATTGGCTTACAGTTCGGGCGAGGGTTCAATTTAAAGCTCTTGTGAATGTGTTTAAATCAATTTATTCTGACACTGCACCCAGTTATTTAAAAGAACTCCCCGGCGATCCAACCTTTGTTCTTCACATGAATGTAGCATATTGAGGATTCCTAAATATAATAAACGTTCTGGTGAATATGTTATATAATGAAGCGCTATATAAATCGAACAATAATAATAATAATATGTATTTTTTTTCCAAGATCTGCCATTCTTTGTTTTGATATAAAGACTAGAAATAATATTTTATATGCAGGGTTTTTTGCTTCACAAGCTACTATACAAGATGGCGAAAGGTGTAGTACGGCTAAAGCCTTCTTATGGCCAGCTGTTACAAGTCGCAAAAATCTTCACGTTCTGACAAACGCCCACGTTAAAAAGGTAAGTTTGGTCTTCTTTATCTTTGGCATATTGTTTTTACGTATTTTCATCAAAAAGCCCATGTAGATTTTGTATTACCGCGTACGGAGGGGTAAGGGGATAACCTGCGCTCGCTTCTAATTCTACTTCCATGATGATGTAGTAGGAGCACGCTAGTTTTTCTTTTCTCTTCAGGTAGTATTTTATCATAATTAAAAATCCTTCTTTTCAGGTAGTTATAAAGAATAAGAAAGCAGTTGGTGTAGAATTCTATCACAAAGGAACACTGAAATCAGTTTCTGTAAATAAAGAGATTATTCTATCAGCTGGTGCTTTATCTTCTCCTCAGATTTTAATGCTGTCAGGGATTGGACCAAAAGAACACCTGAAGTCACATGGGGTAAATCACTTTACTTGAAGACTTGTTCTTATAGCCACTGTGCTTCATTTACATTATCAAACTACTCAAGGTATATTCCACGATAAAATGTACAAAAAGGGGCATTAGGTAAGATCAGATAAACAGGTCACAGTTCTCGATATAATATTTTTTAAAAAAAGACAATGCAAAGGGAATATCTGGACAATGTCAGTCAAATTCCTTCATTCTGAGTCTAGTTATCGGCGAATCCATTACAGTCTAGCCTCGATTGTCATTGCTACCGTTGTTACGATAATAAACAAAGTCTTGATTATCTATTTTTACGGTAACCGCACCAACGGTAAAGCGTATTTAAATCTACTTAATATCGGAGCCATCAACGGTAGATATTCTCCTGGTTCGATTCAGTCAGAGTCTAAAGGGACCCATTAACAGATATCAATGCTGGCGTGTGTGAACTATATGGCATATACCTCATCTATAGTGGGATGCAGAATGTTAACAAATTTATTTTCAATTCATCATATCTTTATAAATATTGAACCAACAGCTTTTGACTAATATTCCTTTTAGAAATCCAACTTTCCCAACATTGTACTTCTATAAGGATTTAAATTCTCCTCGTATTGCTTATTTTTTCTGATTAATATCAACGCAGGGTTTCAATCAGTAAAATAAAACTTGATGAAATTGCAAAATAATTGTTTGTCTATTTCAGATACCAGTCGTAGTTGATTTACCAGTGGGTGATAATTTACAAGATCATATTTGTTTTTTGAGCTACTATAAAACAAAAGAACTCGTCTTTAATTCTCCTAACAAAACAGACTCTTTATGGACGTTAGCCCAGTATTTAACAACCAAATCAGGTAGCGACATATAATCATAGGAGTAGATTTCAATTTTTGTTTGGGGGCGGGGCTGTATCATTTTTGCCCGAAAAATGAACCTGCATAACTTTAGCAGATATCGCCCCATCAACAATCAGTGAAATTCGCTAAGAAGTAAACTGTTTACATTGACTGGTCTGGTAGTATATTATTCATCATCACACCTAATAAATGATTATCGTATATATAATAATAAGTTATAATTATAGAAATAAAATTGTTTTAGGAAAGAAAACTAGGTTTTTGCGAGTGCTTTCTGCTTTATTAAGCTTCTTCGGGCAAGTAATTGACTCTGCTCAATTTTAAGCAATTGACCGAGTTTAATTTCAATTTATTGACCGAGTTCAATTTCAAGTAATTGGCCGAGTTCAATTTCAAGTAATTGGCCGTGTTCAATTTCAAGTAATTGGCCGGGCTCAGTTTCAAGTAATTGACCTAGTTCAATTTTAAGTAACTGACCGAGTTCAATTTCAAGTAGTTGACCGAGTTCAATTTAAAGTAATTGGCCAAGTTCATTTTCAAGCAATTGATTTGGTTCAATTTTAAGTGAATAACTAGGTTCTATTTCTGTGCTTATAATAATCGATTATTTTTTACTTTTTAATGACATAAAATTGCATTATATTTTGTTTAGGTTTGTTGGCGACACCTGGAGGTATAGAATCAATAGCTTTTATATCCACGGATCCAAAAAGACCCGAATATCCAGATTTAGAAATTCATGGAGAAGATATGCTTTTTAACGAAGATGCGATAGAGGGTGAACTTGGAGTAGACCCTAAGGTGAGAATGAATTGCGTAATCTTTATAAAATGAGAAAGTTGTTTTGATTGTCTGTTTGTGGCTAGATGTGTTCTCTAGAGGAAACCTCGCGGTAGATTTCACTCAAAATTTAAACGATATAGGACGCTCACCAGTGCAAAGTCTGGTAACTGGTTTAATTTAGGTTTTATTTATTTGTAGTTATTTATATGACGTTCAGGCCAAAAATTTGAATCATTTAGTTAGATTTATTAAACATACATTATGCAAGAGCAAAATCGGCCTATTGTGGGTCTTTCTTTAGGCCTGAAATGTTATAAAAACTATTAATTAGACATTAATTAACTTATCCAGACCATAATCAGCTCTCGATGTCAAAGCTTGCCTGCGATATTTGTTGGATTACAGTCCGATTTGCTGCAAAAATTTCCTTCGTGATTAACGATTAAATGGATAATCAAGACTATTAGTTTTGACTTATCGTCTTCAGTAATGATGATCGAGGCTAAGCGGAACTTTCATCCGCTTGGTTCTCGGTTCATAGTGGATCAATTTGACTGAAATTTTCAGCAAGTTGCCTTTACATTCTGTAGTTTTTCACTATTATAGTGAGAACTGCCAACTCGTTATCTAATCTCCCATAATGTATTCCCGTTTCAGTCCCTAAGTTAATTAATGGTGCGTTATCTGCTTTTCTATCAAATTGTTCATCACTTTACATACCCTAAGCACACAATCGTCATTATCAAACTCAATCATGGTATTGATGTAATAAAACTACAAACCATGTTCCATCACCTTTGATAAAACTTTTCTTTTTCAGTATGCCAAGTATTATTCTGGTATAAACGATATAAACGGTTTTATTCTGTCCTTTAATTTATTAAGACCAAAAAGTCACGGTTCAGTTCGTCTAAACAGTACCGATGCCATGCAACATCCGATCATTGATCCAAGATATTTAGAAAACAAGGAAGATGTGGAGAGTTTGCTACGAGGTTTGTCGATAAAATATTGTTTGTAAGTCATTTAGTTAAAGGAGAACATTGAACTAACACAAACACAACTTTATGGATAACAATCAATAGCAACTTTGATAATTTTATTAATGGTTCAGTTCCGTTCATTATTTACAAAGATATCATGACTAGATCCTTTTTACTTACATCTATATGCATTATTTAAATTAGTAAAAAGAAGAATACTATTGAATTTCAGCAATAGCCCTCGCTTCACTTTGTTGCACCTTGTGAACGCTCTAACATCTAACGTTTTCTGCCGATCTGTATTGAATTCATATGGGTCATTTAAATTAGTAAAAAGAAGAATCCTATTGAATTTCAGCAATTTCCGTTTATTAGGTCTAGAGTTATGGTCCTTGTTTCACTTTGTTGAACCGGTCCGATCTGTATGAAATTTATATGCTTCATTTAGAATTGTGAAACCACAAATCCTTTTGAATTTCAGCAATTTACAATAATTACTTCAAGAGTTATGGCCCTTGTTTCCCTTTGTTCAACCTTGTTAATGCTCGTTTGATGAAAGTTATCATCCCATATGTATGAAATGTATGCATCATTTAAATTTTTGAAACGGAGGTCTATTGAATTTCAGCAATTTCCGTCAATTATTGCTAGAGCTATGGCCCGTGTTTTATTTTGTGAACGTTCAAATGACAGAAGTTATTATCCCACCAGTATGAAATTTATATGCATTATTTAAATTCGTAAAACGAAAAATCCTGTCAAGTTTCAAAATTGTTTGTAAATTACTTCAAGAGTTATGGCTCTTGTTTCAGTTTGTAGAACCTTGTGAACCCTCAAACGACACAAATTATAATCTGATCTGTATGAAATTGTCTTGTAAATTCCCAAAATTACCTACAATATAATAATTAAGCGACCACCCTTGTCGACCGCCCGGACGATTTAGCTGCTGTGGGCGTATGTTTCGTTGCCTGGCAGCCGCTGGTTCTTTATATCATTACATGTGTTCATTTTTACTTATATCATTACAGGTGTTCGTTTTTCACAGAAACTGACTGAAACCAAGACTTTCAAATCTCAGGGAACGGAATTTTTCCATAAACCATTTTCACCATGTTTAGAAAAATCTAAATTTGATAGTGATGAATATTGGCGATGTTATATAAGGTATTTTACACTGGTTATCTTCCATTCTACCGGAACTTGTAAAATGGGACGTACAGAAGATCCAACCACAGTAGTGGATCCACAACTAAGGTAAGTTCTTTACCACAAGATGTTCTCTTTTTTCTTTAAAGCACTACATTATCTCAGGTTTCAATCCCGGCTTCTTCCGAGAAGAGGATCTAACGATTCCCCCAAGAGATCGGTTCCCACTTGTCAGAGGTAGCTCTTGTGGTCCGAGAAGTAAAATACTGAAATGAAAAACGGTTGTGAACACGTAAAAGAAACCTTTCAATAGATGAAATTCGTTGAAGAAGAGACCATTGTCTGCTGGGCACAATTTCCATCATAGCGCAGTCCCCATACCCATCTTCGATACCGTAGTTCGTGCAGAAAAGTATGACGTGAATCCCCATCTCATTAGTCCATGTTAACTCTTCACTCAGTGGACACCAAACAGTTTGCCCTTGCGAAACCAAAAAACTAAAATGACCCGATGTGTATTTATTTTAATTAGTATTTTATTTATTACAGAGTGAAAGGCATCCATGGACTGCGAGTAGCTGATGCTTCTATCATGCCATCCATAGTATCCGGCAACACTAACGCACCGTGTATAATGATAGGTGAAAAAGCCGCGGATATGATTCTAGGTATAAAACCACCAACACCTCTATCGGACATGTAGCTGTATATACCATAACAGAGTGTTCAACCGTTATCTTTGTGGTCGACCGCTATATACGTATATTTGTGTTCAACCGCTATACGTATCTTTTTGTTCAACCGTTATAATTATCAGAGTTTTAAACCGTTATAATTACCAGAGTTTTAAACCCTTATAACGACCGAGTATTAAACCGGTATAACTATCACAGTATTATACCATTATATCTATCAGAGTTTTAAACCCTTATAATTATCAGAATGTTGAACCATTACAACTACCAGAGTGGTAACCCTTTAGGACTGTCAGGTTGCCAAACCATTAGGACTATCAGAGTGTCAAACCATTAGGACTATCAGAGTGTAAACCATTAGAACTATCAGAGTGTCAGACCGTCAGGATTGCCAGGGTGTTAAACCGCTAGGACTATCAGAGTGTCAAACCGTCAGGATTGCCAGGGTGCTAGGATTATCGGAGTGCCAAACCGTCAGGATTATCGGAGTGTTAAACCGTTAAGACTATCAGAGTGTTAAACCGTTATTTGACATAGACTTTATGATATTTTAGAATCAATGAACAAGATTTTAAAGTGAAAGTAGTCCTACCATTGCGGTCAAACCTTACAGGTTGTTTTTTAAAGATAAGCGTTAAATGAAAATGAAAATCTTATTTGGGTTAGCCGAGATGGAGCAGAGTTAAAATTAATCCTCATTTCAATTCTATTTTGGGCTAGCACGGATGGGTCAGAAACGCAGGGCGTTAAGGTTAGACCTCTTTTCAATTCTATTTTGGGCATCCCTAAAGGTGAAATAGCCTTTTTTGGCATTATTTAAAAATAAAATACAGCTACGTTTGTGGAATCCAGAAATTAAAAATGATATTTCTCACAAATACATTGAGATCAGCCGGGTGTCTAGGACATAATTATATATATTTTTAAAACTACCGTGGGGCTACTCTCAATGTAATATAGACAGTAATCCTGGGGTTTCATAAAACAAACAATAGTCGAGGGGATAGAAATAACACTGAAATATCTAAGGGGCCTAATTCCAGAAGGTGTGGGGGGGGGGTATAAACGGTCAGTGGTCCAAAAATGTGTAGACAATCAGCAAGAATTGTCATTAGGTGATCATCCTCATTGTATGCCGTTAAATCAAGCATACATGTACAATTTGTGAAATATTTGCTCAGGGTTTTTTTTTTACAAATATTAAAGTGTAAACTTCATTGTCTTTGTCATTTTTTTCTGCAGTTCACTTGGTAGTTGGTCAGAGTTTGCAGCCAAGCTCAGATCATAGTGTGCATAGATTGTGCAGTCATCCATATTGATTTATTGTGTACCCTGATATCATGCAGAATGGTATTCTCTACATTGTAAATAAAATATTTTACCTTGTTCTAGCAGACGTCCATATATTTTTAACTAACTAGAATTCATTGTTTTTTAATCCCTCGGTCAGCCATGCGGAACTATTCAAGGTGTTTTGTTGTAACTTCTTACAATACAGGTACGTATTGTAATTAACAGGTATATACACATCTACATACACAGGTATATTATACACGTCTACCTGAACGTTCTATACATTCACCTGATCTAAATATTACCCGTGCACATTATCTAAGATGTTCACTTTTAACTAATAAAGCATATTGTCCTCATATCTTGAGACATAACGGGGGGTTGGGTGGCCGAATGGTTAGTATATGTGCGCTGTATCATAAGGTCTGTCATCGAGTCAACTGGCGTGGTTTTTATTCCCCAATTGTACGTGACAAGGAGTAGGGTCGTCTTTCCAACCTCGTGGGTTTTCTCCGGTATCGAGTGTTCTTCTAATATTGAACATCTCGCATCCCTTATTTTATACATTAAAAAGGTAATCGTTTGGATCGGTTGGATTTCCCATGATATCAACAGAGAATCAATGAATGAAATGGGGTTTAACGTCCTACTCTTCTACGTCATCCTGGTTAATGAAGACGATTCAAAGAATCAAATAGACAACTCGATCTCTATGCACAAGTAATGAAGGTACCGAGTCAAACCGAAACATAGGGTTACGTATATATCACAATAGCTATAATATTATGATAGATTTATATTGAATGTTATACCAAAACGTTATTGTTATATATAATTCCTTAATGTCAGCGGTGACGCATGACCTAGTAGTGGTATCAATGGGGGAGAGAGAGAGAGTGAGAGAGAGAGAAAGAGAGAAGGGGGTCGCCGATTCCATTGCTTAAATGGGTATGTTATAGAAGTGGATGGGGGCAGGCGATCCACACATTGTGGCGTATAAGCAAGGTCTAGGTACCACGAAACATGCACATAGCATTTACCACTCGGTCAACAAATACAGTAGTTCTACGCCCGACTGGTATCGAATCGAGTTCAGTTTCGGCTGAGGGAATACAATATGAGTTTACCAAATATGTATGTGAAATAGCTTTATTTAACGTCCGCTTCCACCGAAGTGATATCACGTCTCTCCGTCTTTCCATGCCATCATTAGTTCTTTTTGCAGTCGGGTTTACCACGTGACTTCGTCTTGAGACTTCTCGCATTTATTGTACATTTTAACGAATAGATTTTAATTGGACAAAATGGCTAGTCGTTTCAAAGACTTTGGTTTGATCGGCATTAGCCACTAAACTTAAGTCTGTTAATTTAAAGATTTATGTATGTAATACCTGGGTAGTTCCATATAAGATTGTCATTCGTCATCGAGAATTGTGGATATACATCTGTTACTTCTTGCTTTACTACTTATATATAAAATGTCAATAACAGATTTATATTTAACCTACCTGTAGTTAAACATACATTATGCAAGAGCTAAATTTGCCAATTATTAGACATTAATTAACTTATCCAGACCATAATCAACTCTCGATGACATCGCTAGCCTGCGATATTTACTGGATTATGACCCCATTTGCTGCTCGACTTCCATTCATAATTTAATCATGAAATGGATGATCGAGACTATGTTTCTTATCGTAGACTTTAGTAATGATGATCAAGGTTAGGCCGAAATTTCAATCGCTTAATTCTCGGTTCATAGTGGATCAATTTGACTGAAATTTTCAGCAAATTGCCTTTACATTATCTAGTTTTTAACTATTATAGTGAGAACTGTCAGCTCTTTATCTTATCTCCCATAATGTATCTTTAAGTTTGACAGGTAGACTGGAAAATGACACTAAGTGAAATAAAAGGGGTACAGCGCACCTGTGAGACAATACCTCTTGGCCAAGTGCCTGTTAACACCTTCGTAATAATAGCAGTGTTAAAGTGCTACCTCCTTTAGCTAATCGAGTTCTGGCGAGTTTATAAAAATTGAAATATACATTCGTCATGGATTCCTCTCGACGTAATAAAAGAAAACAGCGGATGGGACAGAAACCGAGGTCCCGTGGACACGTTCTTGCGCACGTAAAAGAACCTTTTGAGTTTGAAATACATTGCCGTCCAGGCTAAATTTCTCTGATAACACACTGGGTCCTGTTTCTCGAAATCTTAACTAAAGATAAAATCCAAATTTTAGTAGATACTTCAATTTTGATTGGCTAAGCACTAAAATCAATCTAATATTATCCAATCCAATTACTAAAATTTGGATTTTATTTTAGTTAAAATTTCGTAAAACAGGCCCCTGATATGGTATGGCCATCTTCATTAGACTGGTAGGCGCAGAAAAGTAGGACGTTAAACCCCATTCATTCATTTAACAAAATACCGCTCCAAACTGACTGATATAATAAGCCTTGAACTTATGTTTTACTTTCGGCATTTTCACCATAAAATATATCCCGGTTGTTACCCTTCAAAAAAACTCCAATGACTCCTGGAATGACATGATCTAAGAGTCGTACATATAATTTTAGTTCTATTATCACTGAGTTCTATTACCCAGTTGTTACCCTTCAGGGAAACCTCCAGTGACTCTCAGGAAATGACATGATCTACGAGTCGTACATATAATTTTAGTTCTATTATCACTGAGTTCTATAACCCAGTTGTTACCCTCCAAGGAAACCTCTAATATCTAAAAATGTGACACGGTCTATAAGTCTTACGTATAATTTTAGTTTGATTATCAACGAAGTGTAAGGATAATTATCGAAATATCCCTAAAGGAGGTGGGGGGGGGGCTAATCGTGTTTGCCTGACAGTGTTCTGCTTTTCAACCATCTAATGTTTTTGGGTTTTTTGGGGTGTTTTCTTCTCTTTTTTTTCTCAATACATTTAGGTATAATTTACGGTTCAATGAATATATCTCTTTATAAAAAACCTTTCCATGCATGATTGATTTCAGATTAAAACTCGCGTGAATGAAATGTGATAGTTGTTTAATCCATCCACAACACAGCCATATTAAGCTGTTAATCAAACAGGATTTCGTCATTAAATAAATTGATTTAAAAACTATATACCGTCATGGATAATGTATTCACTGATCAATTTAAAACAATACTGTGTCATGAAAAATGAGATGAAATGAAATGGGGTTTAACGTCCTACTGTTCTGCTCCGAAGACGGGCATACGCCATACAGTGTTCTATGACGGAAATTATGTCCGAGCAGAGGCACTATGGCCTATTCTTATATCGAAGTCCAACTGCCAAGGGATCTTCATGTGTACGCCGATGTGTACACGGGCCCTCGTTTTTTTTTTTTTTTTTTTTTTTTTTTTGTTCCGTCCGAACGGCAAGACAGCTGTCCTTCCTGCACCATTGACAAGGGGAAACCACGTCGGAAAATCCCGATGAACATCATGAAAAGTACGTGGAATTATATTCAACGGTAGGTTTACTATAATAAATGCAGAGGTAGATGTAAAACAATACCATGAAAAAAACCTATGCGCATGAAAAGGTAGGGTCGGACAAAGTCATAAAAAATAACTTTTCCATTTTTCACCATCCAGCCCCCCCCCCCCCACAACACACACACACACACACCCTCCGAAGACAAAACATAGGCATACCCACCCATAAACGCATTAGTAACTTAATTCGTATTGCAAAATTTTTATGTTATTTGAAACCAAATTTCATCAATTTCCAGGGAGCTCGCATAGATAATACCGTACGTTATTATCTATGGTGAGTTATAAGACGCTGGCTCGCTAACCGGGGGGTCTCGGTTTCGCTCCCGGTGTTTGCCGAGAAAAGTCCTCGGATTTTCCGGCGTGCATTCACTTTGTCAGTGGTGTAGTGGGTCTCGGACTCTCCTCTGGTATTGCGGAGAAAATAGACCCACTAGCCATGTATTGTAGTAGTGTGAACCCAACAGGTAAATATTTAGATTTGTCTCCTCTTGGTAATAAGAGGGCGCCACTGTAATGTTTTGACGATGGCGCCTGGAACACCATCAGGTAGTCCCCCGGGCGAAAAAACTAAAAACAGACGACCTAAAGGTGATTATTTTTAATCAAATTCCACATAGAATTAACAATTAACGTTTCTTCTATATTTGAATCAGGTATTTGATCGATAAGTGCTAAAGATAGTCGTTTCAAATGGTCAAAATTGACACGGAACTAGCTCGCCTCGGTTGTGGATTGGCATTTTGCAATAATAATAATCAACCAACTTACATGTAATCAAGACTATTTCGTAATTAAATAAATACATAGATCTACAAGCTTGATTATGAATAAATAATATTGAATGACCTATCACTTTGAAAAATTGAATCAACGTTTTTGGTTGTTTGATTAAAAAACAACATTTGGCACTCAGTTCAGCTCTGAACGTAGGTCTCATTACACTCGACCTCTACGTTCAGGGACTGTCCTATTGGATCCTTGTCGAAAATCTAATCGTTTCCCAGTCAATTTTACTGGGCAACTTTTTACCGCTAACCGGTCGCGTGTCAGTCCCTGTGAACGCCTGAACAATATAAATGAACATCTTAGGGAGAAAATAAGACCTTGCTTACCTGGCTAGAGTCAGTATGAGTGACACAACACGCTGTTAAAAAATATGTCTCCGTCTTCTAACCGACTTGGCGGACATCATTGAAAGGGTAACGCACAAATTTAAGAACTTGGCCATATAAGATGAAACGAAATTTAGGTAAGTCTGGGAGAAAAAAAATGAAATCTTTGAAAAGTTGAGAATCTTCAGTGATTTATTGCTTTGCCTAGCTAAATTACAATAATTTACAATCAAATTCTTTCAAAAATCCCAATTTTTTCGGTCCAGCGTGTTGTGTCGCTCATACTGACTCTAGCCAGGTAAGCAAGGTCTTATTTTCTCTCTAAGATGTTCATTTATATTGTTCAGGCGTTCACAGGGACTGACACGCGACCGGTTAGCAGTAAAAAGTTAACCCAGTAAAATTGACTGGGAAGCGATTAGATTTTCGACAAGGATTCAATAGGACAGTCCCTGAACGTAGACGTCGAGTGGAATGAGACCTACGTTCAGAGCTGATCTAGGCGTTCCCTAATTCAGTCATTGTTTTGTTTGGGGTTTTTTCTCTTTACAACGAACGATGACAGAAAGTGTCAGCATCATGATGGACATGTATTATATAATAACAATTAACAATGTAGCTCTGTACTTTGGAACCTTAAAGATAGATAAAAAAAAATCACATATAAATAAACTGATTTACATTCAATTTTAAACATTTTTATTTTAATTTTTATGCAATTATCTATGTTCTGTGAAATACTGTAGCCACTGTAGGCCTACCCAGAAAAATTTAGACAAAGACCAGTGCGAGCAAGTTAATTTTTTGCTAGAAATTAATATAATAATGTAAGGCGACTTGAACTAATACATTTTGATATATATATTATATAATTTTTTTTCCCTTTGATATCCTTAAATTACATTTAGGTATGTTCAACAGTAACACTTTATTATCAACGACCGTAGTATTTTTTTTTTATTTATTCCAGACACAAAGTTTAAACAGCAGAAACTACCTGCTTGGCAGCCAATTTTAACAGCCAACACTGTTTTACCAGCATTTTTTGCTATTGGAGTTGCCTTCATTCCCTTGGGTGTTGCCTTATTGGTTACATCTAATAACGTAAGTTTTTATAGAGTCCACATTACGACACATTGAGCATCTTTCATTGAAGTTGGATTTTAGTCACATTGTCAAATTAAAAGATTTATTTTTATTTCATGCCATACAAAATTGATTGAGGCATATTGTTTCCAGAATAACACGTATCATAAACCCTTCACGGAACCTTGTAACTTGTACTTACATCACTCTAGTAAAGTAGTTGTGTTGTGCCTTTTGCTAATTAGAAATTTCTCAGATTTAGTTCCACAAGCCCAATACTACATGGTTACAAATATACAGTAGCCAATCACAGAGGCCAGAGGACTTTTATTTCAGCAAATTCATAACAAATAATGAATGTTACCGAACTTTCTCTATTAATTTTGTAGACACAGCATCCTTAACCTTAGCAAACAAGACACCAACTCTTCAGTGCCACATTTGCTCAGTGGATTGGCTATGGCTCTTATTCATTAACCAGGAGGTTCCAGGAGTTGGTCGAGATTTTTAAGCATGGTTTCCCTTTGCAGAGGTGCAAGACAAAAAGCAGGTCCCCTGTGTGTTGGCATGCATGTACAAAAAACCCTTACAGATAAGAGTTGGAAAAGAGGACATGTAGAAACACTGCTGGCTGGGCGTTTTTTTTTCTTTCATAATGTGTATACCTGTTAGTGTAGCCCTGTAGGAGAGTAAGGCATTAGACCCCATTTAATTTTTTCCTTGAGCGTGGAAAATCTGGGTTTTTTTTAACAGATTCGATCATGACTTTGAGTGATTGTCTGATGTTTTATATAAATTTATTTATTTACAGATAACTGAGTTTGTTCTTGATTACACAAATTGTGAAAATTCTCAACAGCCCAATGAGACATGTGCTGAATTTTTTGAAAATGTAAACAACACTGGTAAAATCTGCCAGTGCCAAAAACAGGTGGATTTACCTGAATTTAAGGTAAGTTTAGAAATTTTTTCAAGGTGTTCACATCGAAATCCTTGTATCAAATTTTTGCCAAAATTTTGTCTCACTTGATCAAGATCAGTGCATTTGGAATTTAATGAAGTTTTGCAGAAATTCTGCTGTGCAGGAAGCATTTCCCTCTCAGCGCATGGCATATACATGCACCTGTTTAAATTAGCCCAATTGGAGCAGAAAGTAGGTTATTAAACCTCATTTCATTTTTGGTTTCTTCATTTTCCTTCTACTAGGGGGTTTGGATGGCGGAATGGTTAGCACGTGCGCGCTGTATCATAAAGCCTGTCATTGAGTCAACTGGCGTGGTTTCGAATCCCTGGTTGTACGTGACAAGGAGTAGGGTCGCCTGTCCAACCTCGTGGGTTTTCTGTGGGTCCTCTGGTTTCCTCCAACTGCTAAAGACCCCTACGTGCAATTGAGTTATTGAAATAAAAAATTAAAACTATATGTTAGCCCCAAAATGACCTATTTTGTGTCAAGTGGACGTTAAACCCCATTTCTCTCTCTCTCTTTCCTTCTACTGTCACAGAGCTCTTATTACAAGTGAAATATTGATTTAAGGACATAAACAAGATGTTAGTTTTGAAGTGGATGTTATTATTATATTTTTTCAGGGTCAGGTGTATATGTATTATGGTTTAACCAACTTTTATCAGAATCATCGTCGTTATGTTAAATCTCGCGATGATAATCAACTTAATGGTCAGAGTGTCGGTGTCAGCAGTTTAAACACTGACTGTGATCCATATCGTACTGTCAAGGGAAATGACTCTGAAGGTTATGCACCATGTGGAGCTATAGCTAATAGTTTATTTAATGGTGAGTATTTATGTTACTTTTTGGCATGGTTTCCCCTTGTCACTGGTGCCTGGCAAGGAACATTGTCTAGTTGTTCTGATGGGACCAAAAAACAGGTCACATGTACATGTTAGCATGCAAGTAAAACAACCCTTGCCTGTTTGGACACAAACGACAAGGGACAACTCATTGTAACCCAGATATCATTTAAATTTGTATATCTAGCACTAATTTCTTTCACATTCGTTTAATATCAAATCTTTGTTTAAAAAATCGTTTAAAATCACCAAAAATCATCTAATTTGTACTTGTGTCCAGTTTAAAGCTGACTGATTAATTTTGATAATGAGTGTCCAATTTACAAGTATTTGATTTCCTGACCACTGTTCACAAATTAAACACTTGTAAATTGGACACTCATTATCAAAATTGAATGGTCCGCTTTAAACTGGACAGAAGTACAAATTAAACGATTTATGGAGATTTTAAACAGTTTTGACAAATTTTTAAACAAAAATTGGATATTAAACGAATGTGAAAGATACACAAGATTAAATGATACCTGGGTTACAGTGACTGCTGTTTAACGGTATGATGGAGACCTAAATCAAGCCAGAGAATAAACGGATTAACAAAACAATACAGGAATGTATATTCCATTAGAAAACGAGGTATGTCCGTCTTCATAAGCCCTAATCAGGCAGATATGTAGAAGAGTCGTTAAACCCCATATTATTTCTATATTCCACTTCCTTTATTTCAGATACTTTCACAATGACCTTTAACCAAACTGTTCAAGTAAATCTGCTGAAGACAGGAATTGCTTGGGTATCAGATAAGAGTGTCAAGTTTAAAAATCCAAGTAGTAAGTCTATTTATATTTTGAATTGTGCAGCAGGCATCAGAGCAAATGTGCCAAATGGCTCAATATTTTATAATGTTAAACAAGTGCAAGGAGTAAAAAGACCGGTTGCCCCGTAAACAAAGTATAACATACTTTTTTAACTCACTTGAGAATCAAAAGAAATTTTATGTCCAGCCCAACCATTCGTAATCCCTGATAGTCAAAATATGCAGTGGTACAGAGAAGATTCTTGTATTAAGCCATTGTGGCTCTGTGAGTAAGGCTTTTGTTCACAAATACCAGGAGGTCCCAGGTTCCATCCCATGTACATGTTTTGGCCGAGAAAGACATATTGGATTTTGCAGCATTGCCCCCCCCCATCATAGTTGTAGGAGGGAGGTCATGGAAAGAAACAGCATCCAGTTGTATGGATCTAATGATAAATCAAGGTCCTGCGTAGCCTACACATTAGCATTTACTTAAAAGAAACCTTGACTGTTGGAATTAGGGAAAGAGTTACCCAAAATGCTATCGTCATGGCAAACTTTTCCTCACAGCAGTGTTAGGTGTATGCCCATGTTCCTTATCCCGCTTTGTGGAGAATGGAAGATGGGAAATCCCATTTCATTTCAATTCCAGCCCTTCTCCATATAAAAATATCTAGTTATTTTTGGTATATTTTGAACACGGTTTCCTCCTTGCAGATTGGGACCATATGCATAAACCACCCAACTGGGCACGACCTGTGTGGGAGCTGGACGTCAATGTGACTAGTAACAATGGCTATAAAAACGAAGATTTGATCGTATGGATGAGAACAGCTGCTCTGCCATCATTCCGTAAACTCTACCGACGTATTGATCACTCACAGGCAGAATTCAAAGATGGTCTTCAAGCAGGAACTTACAACATAACCATAGATTATTGTAAGTACTGTGAAAAACGAACTCATGAATAGTAACGTCAAACATGAACTCATGAATAGTAACATCGAACATGAACTCGTGAATAGTAATATCGAACATGAACTCATGAATAGTAACGTCAAACATGAACTCATGAATATTAATGTCAAACAAAAGCTCATGAAGTAACATCAAACATGAACTCGTGAATAATAACATGGGGGGTGTCCATCAAGTGGGCACAAAACCACACCCAACTTTTCGATAGTAAAATTTTGCGTTGAATGTATTGCAATAGTCGTCTTCAGTAGACTAAAGTAGAACATTAAACACCATTTTATTTTTATTTCTGTCGTGTAGATATATGATTTTATTATTTATATATTACAGCCTATCCCGTGACGGCTTTCCAGGGTACTAAAAGTATTATCCTCACTACAACATCATGGCTTGGAGGGAAAAACCCATTTCTTGGTATCGCATACCTCGTAGTGGGTAGTCTGTGTATTATACTAGGTGTTATCTTCTCCGTTATTCAACTTAAATGGGGCAAAAGGTCAGTATGAATATTCATATATTTTACATCTACTGATTGGCATATTGAAATGTATTTAGGGTCATGATTTTATCAAAAGAATGGCCCATATTTAAAAAAGGTATCAATTACAATGAATGGTTGGAAAATAGCCATGTATTCACTTTTCCCAGTAGGTTTTAGTTAGTGACCATCATTTAGTACCCGACTCAATACAATACATGAATTGTTTTCAGTTCACACACAAATAATGTGTGGACTAATCGGTAAGCTCCATTTCATGGAGTTACAAGACAGTCCTTTTATGGGGTTATTTGAAGTTTGCAGGACAGAGGACATGACAAGGAACGGTGTGTAGTAGTTTGGATGGAACAGAAAACCGTGGTCCTTTGTACCCATTAATGTGCACGTAAATTCCCACTGACAGATGTAAATCAAAATAAAAGTAGACTGTAGCACCATTGTCTGGATAATTTCCCCCATAGAACACAGCATGGCGTATGTCTGTCTTCACTAGCCCTGTTGGAACGGTAAAGTACCATGTTAATCCCGACTACTTTTCATTTTGTGTTCGGTGTTATCCAGGTTACCAATTAGTAAGTTTGTTTCATATGCTGATGTTTGACCTGCCTATACCACCATCATTTTCCCCCTAATATTTGTACTGCAACGATGAATCGATGAACCGCCATGTTTTGAAAATCCACAATGCGCGATACAATCAATGCCCATATCGCGATTCGTTATCCAAATAATAATTTCACAAAAATAGACTGACATTTCTTTAAATGCGTAAATAAGTGCATGAGAAAAATAACTTTTTTACTTTCAGCGAGTTTTAAGGCCTTTTTGACACATAAGTAGCTTATTATAACTATTTCGTCAAGATTAAAATGTCAGTCTGGTTATGTAAGTCGAGCTGGAAATTAAGTTGCGTTCAAATTACACACTTGAATAATATGCAGAAAATAACCCCATACAACTTCAACATATTAATATATATATATATGTGTGTGTGTGTGTGTCAGTAATATGCGATTTTTGATAATATTACTGTATAAGAATGACGATTTGTTCATACTGCATACATTGATCAGCACATTTTCAATGTATATTAATATATGATATTAAAATCTTCGTAACGTTATTTCCATTGCTGTTCCGTAATCTATGACTGACCTAACAACAAGAAAGCTTTTCATTGGCTAAAATTGTTGTGGCAATACAAGCCATCCAGCTGAAATTTGTTTCATAATGAATTCACCAAATTCAAGTCTCATGATCGACAAAAGCAATATTGAGATCGAAATGCCCCATACCAAGTATATAAGTCACACGTAAAGTATGGGAGTTTTAAGGATTTCCCGTTAAGCATGACAGCAATGAAATCTGTTTAGTTGACCGAGAAAACACCACATTTAAAGTAAATGATAAAAGTAGGCCTTCGAATTTTCACAGTGAGAGACTTGTCAAAATTTAACAACATTTTTTAAATTGATTTCCTATATCGCGATATTAATCGTAGACTATGAATCGTGATGTGCATCGTATCGTGGCCTGGCGTATCGTTGCAGCCCTACCTAATATTGACAGTTATTTTTAGAAGCTATGTTGTTTTCTACACTAACTGTGTTATTATGTACATAGAATTAAAGCTGAATTTGATAAAAACATCTACGAGGGAGGCTATAGAATGTAATAAAGATAGCCACAAGCAAGTACTAACAAATATTCATAGGCTTTATTAACCCTTCTATATATAATCAAATCCGTGGTGGTTGTGTGCTTACATGAACAGATCCTCCTCCTTTTTTTTGCATCAAACTAAACAGGTTTTGTCCTTTGCAGTTACACCAGCTTTTGACTAAAATCTTCCGCATGGATTACAAAAACACAATTTTGCTTGTATTAAAAATAACTTTATTAAAGGTAAAACCTTCATACTAATTTATAAGGGGGGGATGGCCCAATGGTTAGCATGTGCGTGCTGTATCATAAGGTCTGCCATTGAGTCAACTGGCGTGGTTTCAATTCCCCAGTTGTATGTGACAAGGAGTAGGATCGCCTGTCCAACCTCATGGGTTTTCTGCAGGTCCTCCGGTTTCCTCCCACTGCTAAAGACCCTTATGCGCAACCATGTGTTAGTCCCGAAATGACCTAGTTTGTCTCGAGCGGGCGTTAAACCCCATTTCACTCTCTCCCTTTCATACTAATGTATCAATAACTATTGATTTACAACAATTTTATATACAGTTGTTTGATGAATACATGTAGGTAAACTATGATGATATATGATGTAAAGATATATGTAGGACTATAAATAAGAGAGAAAACATAATTTTAACAATTTACGATTTGATTGAAGTATAATTATTGAGACGTTAATCTGCCTTGGGCTTTTAATAAAAATACATAAATAAATAGAAATCTGGAACAATCAATCAATCCAAACCAGTGGTCTTAATCCTTTAAACTCACCATTATCAGGGTATATCTCAAATCGACCAAAGTATTGTGTTAATGTGATATTAAGCCAAATTCCATATAGAACATAAACATTCTCTCTAATACAGCAGCCATAGAACCGGTTTGACTCCATCTTGATTGAACAACATCCCTGTGTGGGTTCCAGCAATCTTCATCAAATTGAGGCAATAAACAGCTGATTCCATTCACAAACGAACTATCCACAAAAAGAAAAAATAGAACCCTGCATGGTACTAGCACCACAGGGCAATAATAACTCTTAGTAACATTGGCACAAAGCATTCTACATACCAAGTTTTTTTTTGCAAAGTGTGTTTTGTAATCCATTTGGTGGATGCAGTAGGTTATCGGGAGTTTTAAAATTAAAAGATTTTAGTCCACAACTTCTATTCTTCTCTGAATATATTTTGTCTGAACTTGGGTTACATGGAGTTATGTCCCTTTTAATTTATTATATTTGGTTCACTTCTAGACAGGTGTTGGCACTCTTCTTTTCAGGAGTATGTGAACCATGTTCAGGGCCCTTAAGATACAATCGAACTTTTAAGAAATACTGCAATTCGATTGGCTGACCAGTAAAATCAATTTGCATATATCCAATGAAGTTGCAGTATTTCTTAAAATTTCGGTTGTAACTTAGTTTAAGTTTTCGTGAATAAGGGCCCTGCACATGATCAGCCAATCATTATCAAAATTTGCGACAAAATACAAAACATTTTTTACCTTGCCGTGAAAAGAACAAGAGACACATACATGTATTAAGACATGTGTATACTGAAATCATGAAACAAATTCGTCTTCTACTATTATTTTGGGGATGGTTTATGGATTGTTTTTGTATTCGTATTTGTTTTTCAGAGTTGGTGATTTTGGGAAAACATTTGCGGTAAAAAAAAATATTAATTCCGAATGTGCCCCAAAGTTTGTCTAAAAGGGTCATGTGGTATAGAATATGGATTGGTGATTCCCAGCAGCCCTAAATTTTGATACCCTTTTTGGTATAAAATCCAATCAAGTATCAAAGCTTATAACACCTATGAATGAATGTATTAATTTGTCAATTAATATTAAATAATTTACTTATTTTGTTATAGCAGGACTTCCAGAATAAGTTTGTTCTTAATTCCTCATTTTCAAATTAACCACTCTCCCCTCGTCCCTGGGAATCACTGACACGTTTACCAGCAAGCCATGTTGCCTCTATTGACCATAGAGTTAAATTCATCAACTGCCTCTTTTAGACAAATGATATAATACTTAATTGTGATAACTGATAATTCTAACAGTACATGTTCATGTTTACTTAATATGCATTTTGAATCACTACAGTTCTATTTAAAAATACCTGAGGGGAGGGAATTGGGGTGGAGCACCAACAGTTCTGTTTAAAAAACCTGATGGTGGAGGTTGTCCCAACCAGAAAATTAGATTATTTTATATATTTATCAACCCTTTTTTCACACTATTTTTTAAAACATGAAAGGCAATACCAACTCGAGCATTTAATGATTTTAGACCAGGTTCAGAATCCTTCAGGTATTTTTAATTCGAACATTGCTAAATGAATAATATTACACTATGGCCTTACTATATTTTTATTGACTGTGACTAAAACTATAACACAGAGTTGTGTGGATAGAATACAATACTACATATAACCTAGAGCAGTCAGTGAATGCCAACCTAATATAGTGAAGCTCTAGTGTATTAGCACATGTTATCAGAATATTAAAATAGCAGGAATTTAGTGCATAATAATTATACAATATATCATGAAATTGTGTCTTTGAAATGTGAAGATGCAGTATTGACATCCTAATACATTGTACCTTGACGTAGGTAATTGACCTCATGTTATATTGCATTTCTGCAAAATGTGAATATATAGTATTATGGCATATGCTAGGTATCGTGACTGCTTTATCTAACCAGATATTACAAAGGGATGTTTGTTAGTGGTGGGCAAATCTTGTTCCGGATTGAACCAGTCATACATAACTGTAGCACTTGTTACAAACCTTCTTTACCAGACATTATTAAGTGTTCTCTCAGAAATTAATATGCAGCTATTGTACTCAAGATGTCAGATGAAAGTTGTCCGACCCTGCATTAACTATAGTATTATCATATTTCAAGAACATATATTTGGAGAAAATCATAACATATTAATCTTAACCAAATTTGTTGAAAATAGATTCATAGAATTAGAACTGTAAATCTATCGAGAGCATCTTATTTGCCACCTACATTGACTGTAAGATGGAATGAAAACATGATCAAAGTATGTTTGTTATATAAAAATGATCCCTGTGTGCCATGGGATTTCCCAGGGCAGTTCCCCTTGTTAGTTGAGCAGGACGAAGGGAACAGCACCTAGTCATTTGGATGAGGCAAAAGAAGAGACACTATACTTGTTGGTGTGCACATACAAGAATCCTTAACAGTTGAAATTTGATGAAGAGTATGCAGGAATGCTGCTGCCTGGACAAAATGTCCCTCGGATCACACTGCATAGTATATATACTATACTTCACTGTCCTGATCAGTACAACAAGTTAGGATGTTAACACCCATTGTATTTTCATTTCATTTCCAAACAATGACAGTTCTGAGGAATTTAAAATGTTTGCATTACGATTTTTTTTTACAGCATGATACACGTATCAAGATATGATGCTCATTCTGTATCAGAATGACAACTAGTAAATAACTTAATAGGTTCATTGAATTACTTATTTGCATTTTTGATCGTATTATAAATTAACTCTGTTCGATCCAAGTTTACATTTAGCCTTTATTTTTTCTTTAGTATTTGATGCGTTTGGTTTAATTTTTTCTTTTGAAATTTTCTGTTAATTTTAGAAATCAGGCTTGGTAAAAGGTAGGACAATCAAGATGCACGGAAGATTTGTCTTGGAAATTTTTCTTTTTAATCTTTTTGCTTCCTGTACAAACAATTTTGATGTGTCTTTTGAAAGATTTACAGCACAATTTGAAACAAATCTGTTAGTTCTGACTTCATGTGTCTCTTTGTCATTTTCTAAGATCATTTTCAGCATGATTTAATAAAACAGCCCTCTTATTTTTGACGCTCTGTAATTTTTTTAGATAGATCCTATATGCATTTTTTTTTTCAACTTCTAGCATTTTGAGCGATTTTTTTTCTGCTGTGTAAAATCAACCTTGTTTTTATAGGACAGACTTATGGTACATCGTCGGGCAAATATGTACAAACTTATGAATTTATTTTTGCTTTAAATGGATTTGGTCATCGAATCATTACATGTACCTAAAGTTATGGAAACATATATGCTTTATATTGACCCAGTACCTTAAATTATTAATTATTTTTGCATTATTTGCATTTTGTCTTCGACCCAATACCTAATAGTTACATATTGCCCAAATTCAGGTTTGATGGGATTTTTTTATGATATATGGTCATATAAGTCTCATCGCCCCAGTCTGTCGGTTCATAATTAACAAGTTACAAGAACACTTTACCAATGACATGTATCATGGAACTTTACATATGTTTTCATAATGAGATGAAAAATTCTATTGAATTTAGCAATTTCTAATTATGATTTTCAGACCTATTGCCTTTGATCACTTCATAAAATCTGTTGAATTCCAACAACAAAGGTTTTGCCAAAACTCAATTATTTTATATCTTTTTTTTTTATCCATGTGTTAATATTTAAACCATTAGGAAATACCAGTGTCTTAAAATTTGGGAAAAACAATCTGGTACTATAGCATGTAGCCAAGAATTTTCAGGATTTTTTTTCAAACTTGATTCCAACATGTCAGGGGTTAGTGACTGTGGACCTGACATGGAAAATGTGCTTAGTCGATCAATCAGATGTGATGACAACCTGATGTCTACCCTTGACTTTTGGAATCCAACACAGTAGTAGGTAGAAACATCTACCTGTTTGTATAAAAATCTAGAATGTTTCTGCAAATTTTTATTTTTTGTTTGTTTTGTTTTTTTGTTAAATGTGGTTTTTTTTTTATTCTACTAACCTTTTTTATTCTAACAAATTAGTTTCAATATTGTGTATAGTTAGAGGGTAATAATTGACACGATTTGTGATGTAAAAGGCACAAAACATTATATAATTTATAAAGTTATAAATCTGAACTTTTAAAATTATACTGTATAGTTTGTAATTATTTAAATGAAATTGGTGGTCCTATGTAAAATCCCTGCTCTCTATAACTGTTTTAATGGATAGCATACCTTTTAATTCGTTTTGGGTTATCGTATGAATAAGTGGTCAAGTGATCCTAATGTTTTACTGGGGATATTGCAACCACCATCAATGTTATTGTGGACTTAATTCCATGTTGTATAGAACTTTTCATATACATGTACACGTAATCTGTGGGGTTTTTTTATCTTTTGCTGCCTCTGCTCTATTCCCCTGCAAGTAAACAAATTACACAGATTAAATATGAGACTTGTCCAATGTTAGTCCCTAAATGACAGTGGACATTTAAATCCATTTAAATCAATGAATTAAGGTTGTAAAAATTTATCAACAAATAGTCAACTTTTGGTTTGATTCATTCCAATTCTTTTTTTTTTTTTTTTTTTCTTCTTGTTTTTGGTTGACATCTTTGTTTTTACTGTATCAGGAGAATTATTCCCGTGAAATGAATAAATAGAGGTATGTTATCCATTAAAAGAGCTAGGTCATTAATAATATTTTATCCACAACATCAAACTTAAAGATATTGTAAACTTGTATACACAGGACACGGTTTTATAGAATACAATTTCTGTTTATTAGTGAGCCCTTCGACCAGGATTATCAACCAAATGGTGCCTTGATGTACAAGTTCATGTAACAAATGTTTTGTAAATAATCAGAGACATTCCACTAATTACCTGTCCAACCTGGTGGGTTTTCTCCGGGTCCTCCGGTTTCCTCCCACTGCTAAAGACCCCTACGCGCAAGCGAATTATTGAAATGAAATTAAACCATATGTTAATCTCAAAATGACCTAGTTTGTGTCGAGTGGACGTTGAACCCCATCTCTCTCTCCAATAATTACCTTGAAAAATTATAGTGTATCTAAATTGCGCCAGTTCCATCCACAACTGCATGTACCATTTGCTTGGTAGAGACTCAGAGGCTAAAGGATTGTGTTTAAAAGTTCGCTCAGTAATAATTAGTAACTATATTCCTTAGAATCGCGTCCTGGTTAATTCAGTTCAATTATTAAGATAGATTTGTGTAAACTTATGATCATTAAAAAGGAAATGAGCTACCGTGTACAAAAAGAAATGTCATTGTTGTATTTAGATATAACAGTGTGAGACACGATCAGCTTTCTCTTCATAGAGCACTTGAATATTAATTGATCTATCCATATGTTTTATGTATATAAAAAGAAATATTTTGATTATTTTTCAGATCAGTCGATATGGTGAATATTACTAGCAGAGAAGCATACTAAAGAAAAATATCAACCCTGATCCTATTAAGAAACATGTTGAGTATATCTGTGATACCAAATTATATCCTTCAGGCTTCAAAATCTCAATTGTTAAGCCTAGCTTATGTCGCCCTACGACTCGACAACACTGACGGCGACTCGAAATCGACGACTAGTTTATGATAAATGATCGGTCGTGACTACCTGAGTAGCCTGAGCGCTCTTACGACTGGTGTAAGTCGGACGGCAACCAGTCGCCTCCAGTTTCTCGGAATCACATGTTCTACTCTTACGACTGGAGACGACTGGCAGGTTATCACTTGACAGTCAAGTGACCAATTGTGGCTTCGATTCTGTAACTGACGCCAGGCGACATGAGCGCGCTTGCGACTATGATCAACTGGTTGCTCGTGGTTGCGTCCAGTCGTGGATAAATTCAGTCATAGCGACATAAGCTCTCAGTTGCCGTTAGCCGCCGTCAGTTTTAACACGTCGTAGGGCGAGATAAGCAAGGCTTTAGCCACCGCGTCAAGATTTTCATTTTTTTTTTAAATTTATTGAGAGCGCCTGATACTCATTCTCAGTCAGCTGGCAAGATCACCTAACAGATAAGTTTTATATGAGCAGTTGAAAATTCAATAACCCATAATTTATTTCACATTTGAAGGAGGACTTTAATTATTGTGCATTTTGCCAACACTATTATATTTGTTGTTATTGTTGATTAATTTATATCAATGTATATAATTGTAATTATTGATTATGTATGTAAATGTGAACGATATACATTGTATTTGTATGTTTTCCTCATCGAATGTATGCATCTACGCTTTTTAAAAATAATTTCCTTTGATGTTTTTCACTAAATTCTTTTCACGGTGTGTGACTTTTGGGTTGTACAATGCCCCTATTAATTTTCAAGGTTGGCCGATAGTAAGGTTTTATTGGATTTGTTTTTTGAAACAATATTTTTATTTAGGATATCTGAATGGGATTGGATGTGATGTTCTACCTTGCCCAAAAAACCTTTAAGATAATTTGATTTGATGTGCCATTGTATTCATGGCAGATTTAATCTATGTATTTTGGTTTCTGCAATGCCCCTACCTAATTTCGAAATGATTATTTTTTACATTGAATTCATTTAATCTATGCTTTTGTTGGTAAAGTTGTCCATCACTCGTGTCTAAATATTTTTTTATGTTCTTATTTGGATTCCCATCACAGTTAATTTATTCTTTTTGGGTTCTGCATTAGGCCATTAGATTTTCAGAAACAATGGATTAAAAAAACAAGCATAAGAAAACGATATACTTGTTGAACGAAAATGGAAAATGTTATGTCTGAGTGCATTATTGAATAGTGTTTAACTTTACCTAAATCCATTTCTCCCCAAAAAATAGTTTAATTGTTTTGAGTAAATAGTGCAATACCAATTCATGTATAGTGTCTGTGTATTTCAAAATATTATTAATGGTGCGACATGATCTTTGATCAACTTCATAGTTTTTTGTTTAATATGTATTTCCCTTCTCAGCAACTATATATTATGTCACAAGTTTGTATTGTCTGTATTTTTAGCGCAGTTTTTTTTATAAGCTCAGGTCGGTCGGTGCACGCTCTAGAGGATAAAGTTATTGTCCGATTGACTTTAAATTTATACACAGTGTACATGTATATGGTCTTGAGGCGAAGAAGGCTATTAGTTTCCAGCAATCTCTGCCAGGGCTATGACGCTTGAGCCCTTTGATAAATCTTGTGGTCGCTTATGTTTTTCATGTTGTCCCTCTTCTCGTAGCACTATGACCTCACCTCAGTAAGGATATACCTGGATGACTCAGACTATAGACCTGCATGACCTGGACTGAACCCCATGTCCACATTTTTAATTAAGAAAAATTGTAATCTATCCTTACCAAAAGTAGCATAGTGGACAAAGGGGAAGTTCGAGATGTTCTTGAATTTAATTAAAATGTTTTACAATAACTATTCATATTTATTTTATTCTAACTACTATCCATTCATTTCTTATTCTTTGTATATCTTCTTTTTTTTTTAAATATAAAGTCATTCCATACAGTATCAGATTTGTTTTTATTACAAAACGCTGTAGGGTCTACACGTCTAGCTGATTACGTGACGTTTAATCCTACATCTGTAGACATATTGAGTTCAGGGGGCACTAAATAATCGTCATCATCTACCAAATAAGCATCGTTTCCAGCGCGCTACTTAACGACTTAAAGTTGCGGTCATGAACGGCTGATTCCAGTTACAAACAAACTATCCAGAAGAAAGAAGAGAACATGGTAAAAAGAACAACCTAGAAAGGGTTATTAAAATGTTGACAACTCACAACATGTTTACAGTACTGGCTAGCTGTAGTTTAATTTATAACCAGTGTCAACTCACCAGATAATACAGCGTATGATTAAGCTACAAGATTTATGAAGACATTTTAATTTAGGGTGGAGCTGTTTTTCCTTAGGACTTGTATATCATCTACTTAAAGAATACGTACTTCTCTCGAATATCCAGTCGTAGACTAAATGAGACAAATCCGATTGGTCATGTTATATTAAATAACACTTTGGACTGCCCCTGATCCACTATCGAGCTATATGAAATAATCTGCGGTTACGATTTAAAAGCCCCCAACCCAAACTTTCTTATTTTGGGGCGTTAAAAATATAAGAAAGAAAAACAAAAAGATTTATGGGATACGGTTACACCACCTTAAAAGAGTAGCAGAGGCTGGACATACCTCTCAATTCCACCTAAGTACTGCTGTTGTGCGGAGATACTTAAATATTGTTTTCGTCAATTTTAAGGTTCCAAAGAATATCGGGACCCCGGTGGCTAAGTGGGTAAGACGCTGGCGTGTTCGATCCCTGCATTGGCCGAGAAAGTTCATTGGGATTTTCCGACGTGGTTTCCCCTTGTCAGTGGTGCAGGAAGGAGGGCGTGACAAGGACAGCTGTCTAGTCGTTCGGATGGTACGAAAAACCGAGGCTCCGTGCATACATTGGCCTGCACGTAAAAGATCCCTTGGTAGTTGGAATTCGATATAAGAGTAGACCATAGTGCCGAAGCAAAATTTCCCTCAGTAACCTGTATGGGCGTATTCCCGTTTTCATTAGCCCAGTCCGAGCAGAACAGCAGGACGTTAAACCCCATTTCATTTCATTTCCAAAGAATATGTCCATACGCACTGTACAATTCATTAATATTATTTATATTATTGTATTGTTGTAGGAGTATTTACACCAGAAACCAATAAGTCAGTACTCATGGCATTGATCTGTTTCACCAATAAACAAAAAAAATCTCCTTCGGTAAATAAGTTGTTGAGTTTAAATACCGGTAAACCTATCGACGTACTACGAGTCTATTTGCTTGTCAGGCTCGTGACTCACAATAATCAATTTTTCACCGATTGTATCGAAATCTACCCCGCTGTTGCAGATTTATGTATCTGAACATCTCTCCTATACTCTTCGAAAGCAATGCAAACAGCTTGTTTTTGTTTTTGGGTGTTCGAAAGTATCTTTTAAGTATTTGTAACTCTTATAATAATCTTCTGAAACAAATGTAGTCTGTTTTCATGTGTGGTTGGTGACAATTTTCCATGCTCCACGCTATATTTGTGTCTGGATATCAGCCTATCATTCCTGGATAATTGTGGGTAAATGTCTCCGTTACATGTAAGTATTTGTAACGCTGTGATACTCTTTCGAAAAAGTACAGTCTATTTTCAAGGCAATGTGTGGTTGGCGACAAATTCCTAACTCCGCGTCATATTTTGGTCTGGATATTCATGTCTATAATCCCTGGTTAATCATGGGGAAAAGTTCCAGTTACGTGTATTTGTAACGCTGTGATACTCGAAAGAAAAAGTACTCTGTTTTCATGTGTGGTGGACGACAAGTTGCTTAACCCCGCGTTATTTTTGAGTCTGGATATTTATGTCTATAATCCCTGGGTAATCATGGGTAAACGTCTATGAAAGAGCTAAATTTGCCTATTGCAGGTCTTTCTTAGGTCTGAAATGTTATATTAATTGGACATGACACGACCATAATCAACTCTCTATTCCATCTGATTGTTCCGATTTTCATTAGATTTGAATCCGGTCTGCGGTTGATGAATAACCGTAAAACTGGATAACCGAGACTTTATTATCGTAACAATGACAACCGAGGTTACAGTGTTATTAAAATGAGTATTTTCAGCATATCCCGTTACATTATCTTTTTTTAGACTATTATAACGAGAACTGCCAGCTCATTATCTAATCTTCCATAATGTATCTTTAAGAATTTAGAACTCTTTCGAAAAAGTACAGTGTGTTTCCATGAGCGGTTAGCAAAAGTTTCCTAAATCCGTGTTATAATTGTGTCACGGTATGTATGTCTATAGCCCCGTTGAAATTAGGAAATGTTCGTGATAGCCGTGTTTATCATGAAACAGTCACACAGCCAAACAATGGAGAACAAATCCGTATTTGAGGAAAGTAAATTTTGGCGACCATTTTGGAATGATCTGATATTTCGATAAATTTTGGCGATTTATCTATAATGTATACCTTTTGAAATCCACTGCCACTCCTTTAAACCCACACTGATCCGCAGTGAATATTTGCTTGGCCGCGACAATCACTGATAAGGATGACATTGATGCGGCTTAATGAGCTAGAAATATTAACTTTATTCCTGCGACATATTAAATTCTAAAACATTTTTTGTATATATTGGAAAAATAAATAAAGGCGTTTGACGTATTTGTAGTTAAAAATTATTTCCGATTTAGTGTAAATGGGTATTAAAATGACTAAAATGCAGCATTCTCTCCGAAGCAGTTATGTCTTATGTAAACAATGTACGCGCCATTCAACCAATGATTTACACCGCGTGCTGTGACAGCACGTGTTAAGGCAGTCCTCTATAACAGAGATATCATACGAGACTCGTAATTCTCTGTGAAACAGATTGCTTTTAACCGCCAAGGTGTCGGAGCATCACCAACATATACCCAGCTTGAAAAGCACACTTATTAACCAAAGATTAATGGAAGTTACTACTATATTGACATTTGGATCATCTCAGTTTCTGTATTTTTCAAACCCCTATTGTTAAATGTATGTGCTTATACAATCAAAGGTGATTTTATTTAAAAATAATTTGATCAAAAAATTATTCAGACCAATTAAGTGGTACTTTTTTTATGGACCGGAATTTATGACATAATTCGAACTCTTAATCTTGTAATGTGTATGCTAATATGTCGTGATTTTTTCTCCATACATTGTACCTCCCAATAATAATTTGACTCCAAAAATCATCAGGCTGGCGAAAGCTACATAATCCAAACTCTCATTAAGGTAAATAATATTTCTATTTATGTTAACATTTATCTTTTAATTCAATCGTTTGAAGTTATGGCACTTCTGAACAGTGCCGGACTGGGCCCACCTGTCCACCTGTCTGTGACAGGTGGGCCTAAGCTCATTAAAAAAAAAGTGGGCCTAAGCCTATAAAGAAAAAGGAAAAAAGAGAAAGAAAAAAAAAGAGAGGACAGGACACAGGACAGGAGAAAGAAAAGATAGGAAAAAAATGACTGACAAACAACACAAAAAAAAGAAGCGTACTAGAATTCTCAAATTTATCTAATGATAGTGCTCTTAGGTCATTCTGTTATCTAATTGTATCAGGAAATCAAAAATTTTCCTTATTCAGCTTTGGTCTGAAATGCTTGGAAAATGGGTTTGCGGTTGTCAATTTTCAAAATTTTCCTGTGGGGAGAACACAGCCAGACCCCCCCCCCCCCCACGGACGCTCGCGCGCCTACGGCGTGGGCCTTGTTCAATGACCTGACAGGTGCGCACTGCTTCTGAAATCGTGACGCGTGGTTACTTCGCGAACAATATCAATTTTACTGATGACGAGAACGGTCCCCGTACGGATAATTGACAAATCTGGTTCAAATTCGAACAAGCCCGCGATCTTATTGATCTCGTGTCAACAACAAATTTCATCAATATCCAATGAATAATGACAGACACAATCTGTTTATGACGCATGCTCAGATAGTAAGTGCAGAAAGACCGCACTACACGAAAAAGAAAATCTACACGATAAAGCTGCGGACAAGACAGAACACATAGACGTTGTGAACTTGTGTCACTGTTTGGGTCTATGTTGGTGATATGATCGTGCCTGGATGAACAAGTCCACACTATGTTGACAGACTTTGTATGAGTTTATTGTTGAGATATAAAAGTGACAATTTATTTTCAACTAAACCTAGTAACGTGTAGCGGTATTTAATAGCATCTTATAATAAAGCGGAATTACAATAGAGATATAGGAAGTTACAAGACCATAAGTAACGACATCATATTATATTATAAAAGGCGCTGGATATATTAATAGTTTAATGTGTTTTTGGCTATCCATGTAAGACAGTTTTAACTGAAGGAAAATAACATAAAGCTTATTATGGTATGTATAATTTTTCTACATATATTTAAAACTGGAACAGGTGCGTATTGAAGCTGATTTAGCTGGAGGTACAAGATCCCATATAGTATAAGGGTACGGGGACCGTGCTATATGCAAACAATCCGATAAGACAAACAGTTCAGGGCATGTTATGATACACGCTTCATTCGAAATGAAAAAAATACGGTCTACTGTTATTTTGACGTCCAACTGTCAGGGTTCTTTAAAAGGCACGCTCAGTGCACGACCTTGATTTTTGGTCCCATCCGAACAACTAGGCCCTTTTCCTTGCCAGTTGAAACCACGCCAGAAAAATTCCGAGGAACTTTATATAAATCCAAACCGGGATCGATCTTGGAATGGGAAAACTGCAAAACACACACGTCGACAATATCAGCTAGAATAATACTGGATAGGTTTAACGTACAGTAAATATAAATTAGAGTCATTATTTTGGGACTTCCTCTAATTTCTATCCTGTTCGTGGCAGTGCTCAATTTTCAAAGAAAACTATAAAAATCAAAACAGAAGCTTTAATTTTCTTTTAGCTTCATTTTTTTTATATCCGCTGAGATAGAACAATGCATATATAGAGATTTTTGTATACACGTGCGGAGGGGCAGGGCGAGACAAGGTATCTTGGAGTGCTGGCATGGGGTGGGTACAGCGGAGTAGCGATATTCTGTCGTCTGAAACGCACTGCATTCCCTTTAATCCTGCAATAGAGCCCATATCTTCCCGTTCCATTGACTAATTAAATATAATACACTCCAGTTCTATATAAATAGCTTACACCACTTTACATTGTATTTACCTATGTTGTATACCATATTACACGCACGTCTTCCTGTTTCATTGACTTATTCATCTATTTATATATATATGGAAATTTCTTACAATTAGTTACATTATTATACCGCGTTACAAAGTTTAAAGGAGCCAAACTCCCAATTCAATATTTTTCATAATATTTGAAATTACCAACACGACTTAGAATTCAGTATTAGTCGTGTACTCAATCGTTTAATAATGATAAATTATCCTTTAAGAAGTGACTAATACAAAAACGTCTAGAATTGGCTAATAAGGGGTAAACGGCTGTCGTTCAATTTGGACAATTCACGTATTGCACCGAACGTAATTGATTAAACATACTTTATGTAAGAGCATAATCTGCCATTGCAGATCTTTCTTTAGGCCTAAAATGTTATCTAAATTATTAATTGAACATTAATTAACTTATCCAGACCATAATCAACTCTCGATGCAATCGTTAGCCTGCGATATTTGGCGGATTGGAATACATTTTTTGAAAAATAATTAAATCGATAAATGGATAATCAAGACTATGTTTTTATCGTATCGACTTTAGTAATGATGATCGAGGCTAGCCTAAAATTCAAAAGCTACTATCTCGGTTCAGAGTGGAGCAATTTGACTGCAATTTTCAGCACATTCTATTTACGTTGTCTTTTTGTTTTAACTATTGCAGCGAGAACGGTCAACTTTTTGTCTAATCTCCTATAATGCCTGTTTAATATAATTTACAATAATTTTTTTTAAAAAAGTTGAATATAAATCATTTTATATAAATTCATATTACATTAATATTTTCTTTTAGACCCACTTTCCAGATAATAGGGTGGGTTGGATGGCCGAATGGTTAGCACGTGTGCGCTGTATCATTGAGTCAACTGGCGATTCCCCGGTTGTACGTGACAAGTAGTAGGGTCGCCTGTCCAACCTCGTGGGTTTTCTCCGGGTCCTCCGGTTTCCTCGCACTGCTAAAGACCCTTACGCTCAAGCGAATTATTGAAATAAAATTGATCCATGTGTTAGTCCCGAAATGTCGTGGTTGGTGTCGAGTGGAGTTACCCCCCCCCCCCTCTCTCTCTCTCTCTCTCTCTCTCTCTCTCTCCAAATAGGGGGGTTGGGATGGCCTAGTGGTCTAGAGTGCCGCGCTTAGACCTCTGGCTGGCCGGTCACCTCTGGCTTGCGGCTGTGGTTTCGAGCCCTGGTGTGAGCGTATGTGGCATGGAGATAGGGGCGCCTTCTCAACCTCGTGGGTTTCCTCCGGGCACTCCGGTTTCCTCCCACTGCTAAAGACCTCTACGCGCAAGCGAATTATTGAAATAAAATTAAACCATATGTTAGTCCCGAAATGACCTAGTTGTGTCGAGTGGATGTTAAACCCCATTTCTCTCTCTCTCTCTCTCTCTCTCTCTCCAAATAATACATGCCATACACCCTTTAACCGTGTTCTTTAATTACACCATATACACTATGGTTAACATTTTTATAACGGATCCTAAAGATTAACTGTGTTATATTATATATCCCACGTATATTTACATATCTGTCATGATATACACACTATAATTAACAGGACGACCACGAACAGGGGTTTATTATGTGAGGTTTAATGGTCGAGGACTAGACATTAAGTAATATATTGAAACAACACGAGTGACGTAGTGAGTAAGACGCTGACTCTCTAGCCTGATAAGGACAGCTGTCTAGTCGTTCGAATGGGACGAAAAACCGAGGCCCCGTGTACACAGTGGCATGTACGTAAATGGTCCATTGGCAGTGGGAGTTCGCTATAAGAGTAGGCCGTAGCGCCGCTATGCGGGCAAAATTTTCCTCATAGCACACTGTATGGCGAATGTCTTCATTATCCCAGTCGGAGCAGAAAAGTAGGACGTTAAACCCTATTCCATTTCATATAATTTGATAAAATCTGACATGATAAATAAAATGTGGCACATCAACCCATCGCGAAATGATTAGCTGTCATATTAATTGACTCTGATATCAGCTACTGCATGTTTCGCTAACCTGAAGGTTTCGTGTTCGATCCCGGTGGTTCCGTCTGGTGCAGGATGGAGGGTGAGGCAGGAGACAACATATAGTCGCTCGGATGGTCCCTTGTAAACATTGGCGTGCACGTAACTTGGAAGATGGAATTCGAAATAAAAGTAGGTGTGACACTACGGTATTTTTAAATAGATGAAGGAACTTCCAAAAACAGCCCGTGACACTAGGATGACACTTATCTAGTCAGGACTTTCACGCTGCAAATAAAACCTCAAGGATCATTGACTCTGGAACACTGTGTAGTTCAAACTATTTTTATATATCAAATACAGGAAACTACAACATCTATGATAGTACATTAGGAGTTATTATAATATCTACAATCTGAGTTTAAGAAGCCTAACACTCGGATCTAATGGCTGAAACACTATAGTCTCTATCCCAGCCTCAGCTATTAGGGCGGACAATTACCATTTTTGGGTAAGTGTTTCGTATGGGAACCGTTTAACATCAACATTATTCTATTTAATTGGACTAATCTGTGCAAGAAATGACTGGACGTTAGTACCCTACTTTCAGCAATTGATGGTGGCAGAAAATGTCCGTGAGTTAGTCTAAGAAACTTGATTCTTACAAAATACCTACTCAGCCTATTTCTCGTTGTCACCCATTTGTTTAACTACTTCAATATATTAAACAGAGCACCTTTCCTAGAACCAAAATAAGCCCTAGCGTATTACATGGGCAGCAGTGAAGCGACTGGGAAAAATTTCTCTCATGCCCGTTAGTCCAGTCGGTGCAGAACAGAGAGAGAGAAATGAGGTTTAACGTCCACTCGACACAAATTAGGTCATTTCGGGACTAACACATGGTTCATTTTTTTTATTTCTATAATTCGCTTGCGCGTAGGGGTCTTTAGCAGTGGGAGGAAACCGGAGGACCCGGAGAAAACCCACGAGGTTGGACAGGCGATCCTACTCCTTGTCACATACAACCGGGGAATCGAAACCCCACCAGTTGACTCAATGACAGAGCGTATGTGTGGAAACCTTGTTGAAAATCGTCGGTCTCCACCTTTAACGAGTACACATCAAATATATTCCGAACTAAGACGTAATAAAATCCGTATCCACCATTATTTACAATAATAGGATTGTATAATCAGATCATCCGTGCGGAACACGACAAGGCTAGTTTTTAGATACGTCCACCATAATCTAGCCCATTTCTTTATCCCTTTTTTATAGTTTTCTAAAAAAAATTACATAAAAGTGAATACCGCGCCCTATAATAGCCTAAATGTCAGCCATCTTAAAAGTGGAAACATTTGTTTAGTGATGAAGGATGGGTGTAACTTCGTTTTTCTTCGCTCGATTTCTTTGCATACAAATTTTGATAATAAATTGTTTAGAATAATACGGGGTAAATATAGAATCCGTGTCCTTTTCAAGCGGAATCTGCAAATAGACATATTAAGATAATTACATAACCATTACTGAATTATTGAATTATTATCGGGGTTTCGTCTCTACAATGATTATCTTGTCGTCTTCAAGCCTTTAAGGACATTGGTACATTCAGAAAGAACTTTAATAATCCAAATAGTTGGGCTGAATTAAGAAAATAAGCATTGAGTCCAAAACATTTGAAGAATAGATTCTATTTGGTGCATTCTAAGTTATATTCTGGGCGAGAAACACAAGTTAAAGAGGCAGGTTTTTCTTTATGCCTTAAATAATATATAAATTATTATTTAGACTTTTATTAACTTACCAAGACCATAATCAACTCTCGATGATATCGGATGCTCGAGATCTTCAATAGATCTAAATACGATTGACAGTAAATGATTTAATTCAAAAATGTAACTTCACAACGACAGCAATGACAACCGGGACTACAATGTTCTTCTAACAGCGATAACTCGGCTCAGAATGAAGTAATTTGAATGAAATTTTCAACACATTCCCTTTTCATTATCTATTTTGTAACTATTACAGCGAGAACTGTCAACTCTTTATCTATATTTTGCATAAGGCATCTTTAAATAAATTAGAAATATTGAAAAATCATGGTACGAATCCCTGCCAATCTTTTTTGAAAGATAATCACTAATATAATAAAAGGTTCCACGAGAAACATTTTGCCAAAAGTCGATCAAGTTACGAACCCCAGTCAATCGTATCAATTCAGAAGCTTTCGTCGCGATTTAAGGGTGACCGTCATATTTTCAAATCTAAATAAGAATCTCTCGGTCATCTAATAGAACTTTTGATCCTGTACCCAATGGGAAATGTGCCCTTCACCCCTCTCAAATATGGTGGAGGGGGGGGGGGGTATTTCCCACTTTTCGCCCACTTGGATCTGGTACTGATTAATATCTATCTATATCCGGCACCTGGTATGATATAACAGACATGAAATGAAATGAAATGGGGTTTAACGTCCTACTGTTCTGTCCCGAACTGGGCTAATGAAGACGGGCCATACAGTGTGCTTTGAGGGAAATTTTGCCCGGGCAGCGGCACTATGGCCTAATTTTAATCGAATTCCAACTGCCAAGGGATCTTTCACGTGTACGCCAATGTATACACAGAACCTCGGTTTTTCGTCTCATCCGAATGACTATAGACAGCTGTCCTGGTCAGGCCCTCCGTCCTGCATCACTGACAAGGGGCAACCACGCCGGAAAATCTGGATGAACTTTCTCGGCCAGTGCTAATTAATATCTATCTATAGATATCCGTTAGGCCCTCCATCGTACATCGCTGACAAGGGGAGACCACCCCGGAAAATCTGGATGAACTTTCTTGGCCAGTGCAGAGATCGAACAACCGGCCTCCAGGCTAGCGAGAGATACGGTACTAATTAATATCTATCTATAGATATCCGTCAGGCCCTCCATCGTACATTACTGACAAGGGGCGACAAACCCGGAAAATCTGGATGAACTTTCTCGGCCAGTGCAGGGATCGAACACCCTACCTCCAGACTAGCGAGAGATCCGGTACTAATTAATATCTATCTATAGATATCCGGCATCTGGTATGATATAAGAGATATAGATATCTGGTATATATGATATAACAGCTATTGATCCTATCATTAGCTGGGTTTATAATACAATATCATCAAACTTGTTAATATTGATAATTAGAATGACGTAACGCTATATTAATCAATATTGTTGATTCAGGTGTGGTTTCTCTATTATTGAAATCGAAACGAGTGAATAGAAATAAATATCTCTCTATTTGTAGACAAATTAATGTAATTTTATTTTTGTGTGCTTACGTGTGTGCAGTGCAGGGTAGGTGGATTTTGCAAGATAGACGCGTTTCCGCCTTTCCTTCTTCGATTTACAGCTCAGACGCGTTCGTTGATATGTATTCTAATATGTAGTAGTCTTACACTGGTTGAACACGCCTTTTCTTCGCATTGCATCTCAGTCCCCCAGGAATTGAAAATTCCAACGTTCTTCCTGAGACTTGAAATCGAAGGCCAGATATATAGACTTCAAATGGGGTTAACGACTGACAGACCTTGTGATCTAAAGTACACACGTTATACCACTCGACCACCCGACCGCCATACTAAACTGGTATGTAAGTAATGATTAATGATTAAATAAATAATTACTAGTTTACTGGTCCATATGTTGTGTATTATACAGGTCTATATCGTCAGAGTTCAACTCAAGTTCACTATTCTATTTACATTCAATAAGCTTTATTATACAGCGCATTAGGCCTAGTATATGGTTTGACCACACATAGTTAGGGTGGTTGGTGTTCTGTTTACCTTGCGGTAAGATTGCATTTATTTTAGCTGTTTAGATGCAATTTACCTGCATAGCTTAGTACATGCATATGCATGTTAATCCATTTCAATCATATTTCATATATGTCTCATAATGTGAGATCAGGTTGTCGTTTCGGTAATTACAAATGGCGCTGCATTCGGTACATTTCGCGATGGAGCTAAGTCTATTTGTTAAGGCCAGCTCAATTGTCGGCAAGGTCGAAAGGCGGGGGACAATAACGAATTTTGTTCCCTGTTGACGGGGTTTGAACCTGAAAAACACTTGAGTATATCTCGCTACAAATTCTATTGTCATCTTGAAAACACGTGGCGGAAGTCCAGAGGGTCATAATTATCGTAAACGCGCTAAGTATAATGAACGCATCTTTCCTTCACAGACAATATTATTATGATTATCGCCTGTCAGTAAACTGTTTCCACAATACGTCATAAATATATACGCTAATGAGTGAGACACAACCATACTGCACAACATATCAAATAATATCACTGATTATGATATATTTAAATCAGTTTCTATGGCAACCGGTAAATAATGCCGTACATTGAATAACAAACCGTAAAATTAGAAAGCGGAGTTCAAATAGACAAAAGGGTGTGATTCATGACTGTAATAATATATCTGCAGAAGCCGAAAGGAAGGGCTTTACCGGAATTCGGTTAATCATTAATTTTAACCTCTGTACTGAAGGTTTACAGGATATGATTCTACGGAATAATATTAGTTTGTTAATGATCGAGCAACGTTTTAACTACGATCTACGATTCTTTTTTTCAAGCATATATGATATAACTTTTGTGTTTAAAAATGATTGGATATTATATACATACAAACCACAATAACAACAGAAAATGTGTCAGTTATGTGAAGAGGCATTGAGTGTTCTAGAATGGGTAAGCATTGGGAGTGTGTGTGTGTGTAGGGGGGGGGGGGTATTAAACCCATCTTTACATAAAACAGTTACTGAATGCCTAACGATTATCAAAATTGTAATAATAATAATAATAACATTGCAATTAGCATACATCTTTGTTTTAATTAATTCCTGCTATAATTCCATTATTACTTTGAAACATTGCCTTACATTACGTCCCTCGTACTTCATTTTAAAAGCAAGCAATCAAAGCCGCATTGAGAATGTAACCGTAAAAAATACTCTAGGTTAGTCTCAAAATGACTTGAGTAACATGTTAACAAGTTAAACCCTATTCCATAATATTAAATGATTAAAGGGGCATTATGGAAGATTAGATAAAGAAACCACAGTTCTCGCTAAAAAAAAACAGTAGTTAAAAATAGATAATGAAAAGGGAATATATTGAAAATTTCAGTCAAATTAGTTCATTCTGAGCCGAGTTATCGGCGATACAGAGAGAGAGAGAGAGAGAGAGAGAGAGTTTAACGTCCACTCGACACAAACTAGGTCATTTCGGGACTAACGTATGGTTTAATTTTATTTCAATAATTCGCTTGCGCGTAAGGGGGTTTAGCAGTGAGGGGAAACCGGAGGACCCGAAGAAAACCTACGAGGTTGGACAGGCGACCCTACTTCTTGTCACGTACAACCGGGGAATCGAAACCACCCCAGTTGACTCAATTACAAACTTTATGATACAACGCGCACACGCTAACCATTCAGCCATCCAACCCAATTATTGTGATTGAAACCTAACAAATTACCTGAAATCAATGAGGAAATTGAACGTTTGACGATATCCATTGAAAAACAAGCTTCCAAGGGCCCTAATACAACCAACTTTCAAGGATCCGAATTTAACAAACTTTGAAGATCCTACTAATACAACAAGCTTACCAGGAATAATAATTTACAGAGTACCAGCTATTCCTTATTCGTGGAAATTTGTGGAGTACCAGCTATTCCTAATTCGAGGAAATTTGATCACCACCATATGTACAGTGTTATAGAGCCTATTAACATCCGTGAAAATATGTGATTGTTTTAGACGAGAATTGATCACGTAAAGTCCACCTTTCTCTATTCAGAAATAATCATTAACTGTTTGATAAAGGTTAGAAAAGAAAAGTTTGTTAAAAGTTTGTGAATAGGTTTGAACTGTCACGAAGTGTGGTACACTGAGACACAAACTTGTAGTTAAATTAAAACTGGATTAGTGAGAGTTAAAAAAAATCACTGTAAAGTTTGTTACATAAATTTGGGGAGTTGTTTGATTCGGTAAGTTGACCGAAGGGGTTGAAACACCAAGTTTAAATAGTTGATGTAAAGATTACGTCTATATATACTCCGCCGAAATCCTGTTCCTCAAAGCACGTAGTAAAACGTAATAAATGTGTACATTGCTTTGTGTGTGACAGGTCATCAATTCATGGTGACTTTGCGCTTTTGTCCAGACGGTTATGTTAAAAGGGTATGTCATAAAGAAATGATGAGTTTGACTGGATAACAGAGAATGTAAATAACGGACGAGGGAATGTTGCGTACATGAATTAAATAACTAATTGACTTTTATCGTATGAACCAGGGGATTACATTGTGTACAGTCGGCTGACTCCGGTTATTAATATTTCGTTTTAGTTTGTAGCTCTAGCCATTTTAACAAATGACGTAAGACTGAACGAAATGATAATTTATATATTAGTAGGCTACATCATGAGTTAATTAACACAATTTACCATTCCATTATCCAGGAGCAGTAAGAAAAGAAACCTAACAAATTACCTGAAATCAATGAGGAACGTTTGACGATATCCATTGATTGTTATGAAAAACAGTAACCATGGTTTTAATCATTCATATTGCGGTTGCCTTGGTAACTATCATCCTAAATACAGTAAATGCGGGTGAGTTATTTATTTTTTGACATGTCAATTAAAACCCGTTCGATTTATGAATCTTGGTTCATGTTGTCGGCAGTGCAGCCTGTGGGGCTAACAAGGAAAGGGTCTAAACAATCGAGGTAAAAGTTTCAATAAGAGAGAGAGAGAAAACCCACGAGGTTAGACAGGCGACCCTACTCCTTGTCACGTACAATCGGGGATTCGGCCATCCAACCCCAAAAGTTTCAGTTGGCAGAAATGCAAGCGGATAAGCGGAATTTGACTCTAAAAATCCCACCACGGTTTGGGTTTCTTTTCGGGGTTTTGTTTTGGTTTTGTGATGGCCAGTAAAGTTCCTCGGGTTTTTCCAGCGTGGTTTCCTGGAAATGAAATGAAATGGGGTTTAACGTCCTACTGTTCTGCTCCGACTGGGCTAATGAAGACGGGCATACGCTATACATTGTGCTATGAGGGAAATTTTGCCCGGACAGCGGCACTACTATCGAATTCCAATTGCCAAGGGATCTTTTATGTGCACACCAATGTGTACCGGGGACCTCGGTTTTACGTACCATACTACCATCCGAACGACTAGACGACTGTCCTTGTCAAGCCCCCCCCCCCCTGCACCACAGACAAGGGGAAATAACGCTGAAAAATCTGGATGAAATTTCTTGGCCAACACCGGGAGCGAACCCGCGACATTGAGTAAGGCCTGGCAAGGAACAGTGTTTAGTCGTCCAGGGGAGACCGAAACCCGAAGTCCCATGTATAACTTGGAGTGAACGACGCACGTAAAAGAACGGTTGATAGGTGGAATTCGAAATAAGAGTAGATTATTGCCGCTGTCAGGGCAAAATTCCTCTTATAGCACACAGCTATGCCCGGTTGGTGCACCACAGTCGGAAGTTTTATCAGATTGCATTTAATTTTATTTCCTTGAATCTAACCCTGGGCTTCCGTTCGTTCACATCCTAGAACGCAGCAAAGGGCAATGGGGGCACCCAGCACTGGTCAATTCCTCCTCCACTGGCAAATAGGACGTGATAACCAAGACCCAAATAATTACTTTTTAAAATGATTTTATTATTTATTACAGATTCGTGTCCCGAAAATTGGCTAGAAAACAACAATAAATGTTACTTGGTTTCTACGTCACAATCGACGTATGACGATGCTTTGCAAAGGTGTAACGAACAAGCGGCAGTGTTTCCGGATGTCAAAACAAACCAATCAGTGATACGTTTACAAGCTACGCTAAACATAATCAATAATTTTCAAATATGGACAGAATTTCGAATTTTCAAAAACCTGTCCGAAGCTTTTATATTGGACAGAGATAATTCTTCCCACGTGACAGACTGTATGGGATGTAACCAATTAAAAGAAGCCTTTCTGGCCTCTGTTGATACGTCATCGTGTATTTCAATCAGAAATTTAACGGATAGTGGATCCGAGTTTTTGCTGTCTCTCTGTAATACAACCCATAACTATATATGTGAAAAGAATGCAGGTATATTATGTTCATTTTTATTATTGGGGTTAGGATATATTTATAACAGCCAAGAAATAACAGAGGTTTTGGTGGTATATTTTTTCCAGGCAGAGTTGTCTTCCCTTGTAGTTCACATTAGCTTGTTAGGGTTAGGATATATTTATAACAGCCAAGAAATCACAGAGGTTTTGGTGGTATAATTCTCCCAAGCAGAGTTGTCTTCCCTTGTAGTTCACATTAGCTTCTACTAAAAACAATTATGGTATGGTATTAGGTGGAGACAACGGAAACTTTGGGGCTAGGTCGGGGGGGGGGGGGAGGATGGACTAGAACTATACCCGCGAATTTGATCAAATCAAAAGCCCATTTATGTGCAAACATGTAGAGGAGTGAGCCAAAACTTCGCAAGTTTGTCTTGGGGGGGGGGGGGGGGAGGGCGTTATTTCTATGAATGTAGGTGAGAAAATTATACTCTGCGCCATCAGGGGTGGGGGATCCGAAGTCCTTGCCCCCCCCCCCCGGACACCCAGCTGTTCTAGATTGATTAGTTTCTGGATGATATGGTCCCTAGATCTAAACCTGAAATTATCTAGTGGTATTAACGACCCTTTTCACTGGTCGTTTTGATCGATGGCGGACTGACGGGTGGAGAAGATTCTTAATCATTTTTCCTGTAGACCAGGGGAGTCAAACCATTTCGATTCAGGAGCCACAGGAACTAAATTTTTACATCAAGTGGACCGGATATAAACAAAAATTCTAAAAACAAAGCCAAAGAAAACGATAATTTATGATTTCCACTTAGATATCTCTGACATTCAGCACAGAAGTCATAGTTTTTCTGCAACCCGAAAACGATAATACATGATTTCTCCCGCTAGTTTCTAAGAATTAATGACACGTCAGTTTGTTGAAATTTGTTCCAGTTCCACGGGCCACATTTAAACCCTTGGTGGGTCGGATCTGGTCCGCATGTTTGACACACCTGCTGTAGACCTTCGTTGGTTTCAATGATTTGGGTTAAAGGAAAATAAAGGTTTCTAAGGGTTTCCAACAAATATATATGGGACGGCCCCTTTAAGAGCTACTATATAAAATTATATAAGTTGTAGGTGGTGTACTTTCATAATAGACAGAATCTAGCACGACATCTTATGTTGTTTCATTTCTCCTTTTCTTTCAGAGCCGTCGATTGGTTTAGAATATAAAGACATAGCTGCCATCGCATGTGCGTCATTTTTATTCGTCAGTTTTGTTGTTGCCATGCTGGTCGCCACAATTAAAACACCTAACCAGACGGACGCGGACAAATTGATACAACAAGATGGCCGATATTAAACAGAAAGAAGCCTAGTGACGCAGACATGTGACGACGCGTACGTGGTATTAACATTTTTTAATAAATAAACATTGGCAAAGGAGGATAAAGGAGTCGTTTTGTGGTCATTACCGATTGTTTAATGAAAATCAAGTAAATTAGATCTTTGCCATTGCCCATACTACACTCTCTGATGAAGACGATGAATGACTGACGGTCACTTGAAAGTGAACTGGTAGTTCGAGAGTAAACCAACTAGGAACTGTTTTTGTTTGTTTTTTTGTTTTATGATTTAAAGCAACAGATTCATTTTCGTATCAGGTATCAAACTAAAACAATATATCTGTTTTAATTCAAATTTCTACATTTAAAATTGAAACTTTCGATGTGTTGCAAGTTTAAACAATTCTATTAGCTTATTCAGTTGAGTTTTATTAACAAGATCTGCTTCATTACTTATCTGACATATAGCATCATCGTCACAAAAATCAACAGAAAAAAGTCGACAAGAACTGGCTATATTCACTACCAGGTTCGGATTTACCTACTATGCCTATTGAAAAATACGGCCTTGACTACAGTCATTTAAAAGTTTCTTTGGTAGATAGATGTGATTTCCAAACCGATCACGTGTAGCATAAATGATTGGTGATAATTATGATAATGGTAATCAGGGTGATTATGCTTAGTAACGGAAGGGAAAGCACCGCCAGTTTAGTTTTTGTCTTAATAACTTAAAGTCCGGATTTTGAATAATTACAAAATCAAACCTGAACAGTATGACCTAATGGTTCTCGGAAAGACTGTTGTTGACTTTTAAATCATTGTTGATTCCCCACTAATATTATGACCAATACACATGTTGTGGCACATGAACTACGAAAATGCCCTTATCAACAAAAACACCACATAAGCCCTGACTGAGTATGAATGTACAGATAAATAATGAGTATGAATGTACAGATATACAATTATAATGTTAACTGAGTATCAATGTACAGATATTTAATTATAATGTTAACTGATTGTGAATGTACAGATATATAATTATAATGTAAACTGGGTATGAATGTACAGATATATAATTATACAGTAATGTTAACTGAGTATCAATGTACAGATATTTAATTATAATGTTAACTGAGTGTGAATGTGCAGATATATAATTATAATGTTAACTGGGTATGAATGTACAGATATATAATTATAATGTTAACTGAGTGTGAATGTACAGATATATAATTATAATGTTAACTGAGTATCAATGTACAGATATATAATTATAAATGTTAAAAAAGTATAAATGTACAGATTTATATAATTTTAAATGTTGACTGGGTATCGATGTACTAACACTTGTGATGAATAATTTAAAGAGTAGTTATCATTCTCACCAAAATAATAATAACAACCTTAGACCCACTCAGCTTGCGAGTTCTCTTTGTCTGTGGTGCAGGATGGGGGACCTAGCTAGGAACAGTGGCTAGCCCTGCGGTTGGCACGAATAGGCGAGGTCCCGTGTTCACGTTGGAGTGCACGTAAAAGATCCCTTGCCAGTTGAAATTCGACGAAGAGTAGGCGGAAATACCACTGTCTGCTAGAAATGTCCCTCGGGGTACAAAATCACACTGTACACAGAGGACTACCTACTTCGAGAATAAATATCTGCCCTGAACGGCAGCCATATCCAATATATAGTATACTTTTTTGTAATGCGGTTCTACTCCGTTTCAAATCTGTCATACACACAAAGACTATCTAAACCTTCTAAAAAAAAATTTTAATGGCAGTGGAATGAATATATCTAAACATTATCGAAGTATATACTTAGTTTTTTCGACTAAAATTTCGATTTATAAATTAAAATGTCGGTCAACAAGCTTAGTGTCTGTTCTCCGGTGAAGTAGACAGCGTGCGTTTAGTATGACGAGCACATTGGTGTATGTCCTTCATCAAACCGATTTGTGCAGAAAAGCAGGATATAAAACACCATTTCATTTCATTTCGTTAACTTTCTTGCAAATCACTGAAGCATTGTAGGGGCACAAATCGAAAGTAGAAAGGTGTTACCTTATATATCCTGGCCAAAGGGAAGAGGTGGTGTCAAATCCAGACAACAAAGGTTAAGTTATCTCGTGACTAATTAATGCCATTCCTGCTCCTCCCTAGTTACCTGTTCTACCCCAGTTGATACTTATATACACGTCTCCTTTTTGATACTCTTTTATTATTTGTTGTATGTAATAAAATAAATTGTTAGTATCCATAACATGTCTCTTTAACATTATATTATATATCTTAATATATTTAAATTGCTGTGTTGATGACTAATTGGGGGCCGCGTTGGTCTGGTGAGTGAGGCGTCCTGGCCGAGAAAGTATCTCGGCAATTTTCGGTGTGGTTTGGTGCAAGGCGGAGGGCGGGGGTCCTGCCACGGTACACGTAACAGAGCCATTCGAAATAAGAGTAGGTTGCACCGCCAGTGTCCAGGCAAAAGTTCTCTCATAGCGCACTTTATGGCGTACGCCCGTCTTCATTAGCCCAGTCGTTGCTGAAAAGTAGGACGTTAAACCCTATTTCTTTTCGTTTTATTTGATTATTTGTAATCGTTAAATTTATATATTGTTTTATTGTTGTGTATATAAATATAATTTTTAAATTTTACTTTTGTTTTGCCGTTGTGTATAAAAATATTTTACATTAAAATAAAGTACATCTAATGTTGGAGTGTTTTATGGATTGGTTTGAGGTGACGTAATTGGTGAAGCCTAATTTGATTATGGCTATGGGCCTTATAATAAGGTCCATGGTATGACATTCTGCCCACCAAGAACTATAAACGCAAAAAAGGATACCCGTTTATTCATCTTAAATAACCTTCATTAAAGAGCGGGAGAGAAATGGGTTTTAACATCCTCTCGACACGAACTAGGTCATTTGGTGACTAACATATGGTTACATAAATTTACAGAACTTTTAAATAGTGTGACCCCTAAAGAAACCTTGCATAAGTCATTGAAAACGTACTTATTTTTGCAAAGTAGACGACGTGCTCGCATTAAACAAAGGTAGACAACTCCATGTTAACTTTTTAGGAAAAAAAATCGATTCGTTCACAGAGAGATATACTGGTTCTATCACCTAACAGAGTTTACGCATTTGTCGAAAGACCCCAAGCAATGTTGCAAATATAAAAGAAATGAAATGAAATGGGGTTTAACGTACTACTTTTCTGCACCAACCGGGAAAATGACATACGCTACTCTTCGTCGAAGTCTAACACTGCTATGGGATCTTTTACGTGCACGCCGACATGTTAACCACTAGACTATGCTCCTTGCCTGGCCCCTCGCATTGCACCACTGAGAGGGGGTGGGGGCAGTGCCGGATTATGGCTCTGCTGGCCCTAAGGCACCCATTTTGATAGGTGGCCTAAAAATACAGATATGTTGGGCTCATTGACAAAAAGGAATTAAGTTAAATTCAGAACATTGACAGTACTGTATTTACTGTGAGTGGAATGCAAACCCAATATGACACTACAGGCCATTTTTTCACAACACTCTCAACATAATCACTGTTCATAATCATTAATCATAACAGAGTATTTAACAATGGAACTGGAAATATTACTCACACTTCTACTACTGACTATAGATTTACGAACGGCTGACCAGGCTGAGGATTGTCTTTTTACAGAACCGCCATCGGAATTTTCACCTTGGCTTCCCTAGTCATATCAGCTTGTTTTCGACAATGTTTCACTCGTTATGTTGGTCTATGCATGTTTATAATTACGTGAAATACATCTAATGTCAATTGCGAAATCAATGAAAATTTTAAAAAAATATGAAATTACTTACGAGATTCCTTCCCACAACAAATGTAAACAAACCTCACGTGTGTAAAGGGACGAAACATCATGTCAACCCGTTGCCAGAGTATGGAAAGCTTTTTAAGGACAAACGCGTAGATGAAGAAGGATGCAATTTATTTACATAAAAATAAAGGCAAACACTTTTGTCACCACCTGATAATTATCAAAAAAGTTTTACTTTATTATTTTGTGGCCTGGATTTTTGGCTGGCCCTAAGGCACGTGCCTTTTTTGCCTTATGGTTAATCCAGCACTGGGTGGGGATGGGTGGTTTGTCAGGCTGAAAAATTCCGAGGAACTTTTTCGGCCAACACTGGGATAATTTGATTTCCGTCGTGAGCCATGCAGCTCTCGAGGCTGTTCGTTTTTTCTTTCATTATTCGATCTTAAATTGTCATAAATGGGCTACAAAACTATCAATCTGAAAGGAGACTTGTTTTTCCCGAATTCACAGTTATTTTGACGGCTGATAAAAGACATTAATATAATTGATCATTTTGAATAAATTTCAGATTCAAAATGGTAACATCAATTAACTTTCTCTGAAATTTAAAATTAACAGGTGTACCAAGCGGAATTTATGTAATTTTTAAAGCATGGACTTTCATAATTTTAGCGCTCTGGAGAAAGAATAATCGGTGGCCAGCAAATAACTGATTTGAATAAGATAACGGGATTATGGATGAATAGACCACATTATAAACACGGAACGACTTGACGATCATAAATAACAAAACAAACACAACTCTTTATCTATAAAACGCGACTGGATAATCCAAACTACAACAACGCGCACCTGCTTAAGCTCCGCCCTCATTCCCATAGTTCCGCTAACGTTGGATTCATTCTCCATCAAAATGGCTTCTCTGTTGTTCAGCTGGGTGACGAAATATCCAGGCTTACGGTTCCGAAGGTGCAGATCAGAGTTTGGAAAATATTTTAAGATCTGCAATGGATTTATTTAAAGCGTTTAGTGTAACTAAAGTTTGCTTTGAAACAAATCCAAGTGGTGAAAATTGCAGAAATGTAACACCTCTAGGATGACCTTGGCTGACGTCACGAGTAGTGACCTATGCAAATGAGCAGGGTTACGACCTCAACTGAGCGAACTCCGACATTACGAGATCGCCATCGTTCCTCTAACATCAAGAGTGATTTTGTAGACAGTGTTATGCCATTTACTGGTGGATTATAGATTTGTTTTTATGAGATTTGATGGAAATGGCTACAAATATTACTCAGGAACAGTTCAAAGGTAGAATTTATTTCCGATTTTGTGATAGGAAGCCGTTTACTGTCTGTGAACGTCAGTTTTAAGCCAGTGCGGCGTGAAATGATCGGAATTGTAAGTCGACATCGACATTGAAAACTTACAACAGAGCGGTCTAGAGAAATCTAAGACGTTTGTTTTAATTTATTTATTTCAAAATCATGTGGTATTATGTAAAAGTCAATTCATACAACTATACAGCAAATTGTGTTTAATTCTAAAAAAAAATATTTGTTTTTTTTTCACTCCAGCTCCAATTGTTAAAAAAGGAAAACGTTCTGTTTCAAAGTCGGACATTGAGGTAAGTCATCCACTCCTTGATTGTTTTAATTAATTAGAGTTCGTTTTGACAATATTTCAGAGATTTAATTGAAATAAAGTTAGTTTTCGTTGTATCAAATTGACCTAATTTACAGTCAAACAATCACTTGTATAATTTGACTTTCAGCCGACCGATTTTCATAATTCAGCATTCTTCGTGTACTCATGTCTATTCGCTACATTCTGGCAAATTTTCGTGCAATTTGGTCGGTTAGTTTTTGAGAAAACAGCAATTAATTGAAGAGGCTATCTCAATGATACTAACAAGACAGCAGACGGTTAGACCAATATGGCGTACTGCACGACCAGTCAGTCTTCTGTCATTAGATTAGTCAGTCGGTGGCTCGTTTCGCCAGCCCAGCTGAGATGTGCGAAATGTTCAGTTTCAACTTCTTAACATACAAATGCTATATTGTGTTAAAAATTTATAACTGTTCATGGAATTCCCTTTTTATGAAAACAAATGTTTATGCCTAGATGAGAAAAACAAACCTAAGTCGGTGGATGTTGTGAAATACCTCGCACAAAGAACGAAGCCATTATTAAAACCAGTCTATTATCGATGTTCTGGCCGATCGGGAGTAATAAAAAAAAGATATCTACACGATAGTTTATTAATACGAAATTTAAAACTGACTACATTTATGTCATGTATAAGAACGTTCAACTTTTAACAAGAACATAATAAAGACGTCCATCGACTAATACACGACGGTTCTCTGTTGAAATTCTCGTTCGTTTGAAACGATATTTTGTAAAACTTTTTGTGAAAGTATTTTGAATCCGATTTGCATCGAGTGAACTTCAATATCTCATGAAAGAGATGTCACAATTTTTGACGAATTTCCATGTAAAGATTTGTCGTGAACGGTAAAGAAATTTGGAGATATTTTTGTCGTTTATCCAACGAAGATGGCGGATGTTTAAGGATTTGTGAATATTTAATTAGGTGACGTCAAATATACAAACATATGGTGTCAAAGGTCATGTAATTTAACGGGTTTGGGTGAGGGGCTCAATCTAGCGGAACCAATCTCGGAAAATACACGTTCCTTCGCAGTACGATACTACTCTAGTAACGGTATAATACCAAACAGACCGTGACTATGCTTGGTCTGTCATGAAAATCTCAGTATTTTTCTGTGACAAAAGACTGGGCTCACATTGGCCTGCATTGAAGATAAACTTGATAAAGTAAACATTGTATAGTATATCAAGTTCATGTTACAGAAGACTTTTTGATATTTCTATTTATAAGCTTGTCATGATGAAACATAAAGAGTTTTTGGGTAGGGGGTATTTAGTCAGAATTCAGATAAAGAATGATTTATAATATATTAAAATATTTCTATGAATAAATAGGCAGGCCTAGCTGTGTATTATTATTATTATTATTATCTATATACTGACAAGTCAGCTGGCTACATGCAAATTATTAACATTCACATGATTTTATTTTTCATAATCATTTACATTTTGCGATCAATATCTAATATTTCACGATTTAATAAACGTGAAAACATAGTAATATACTCTAATTAATTATGTATTTAACAAAGTCAAAATATCAATGGTGGATAATCTCCTGCTTTGCATTCAGTTAGATTACAAAGAGACCTATTATTAAATTGCCTTCGACAACAAAATGGCTTGTTTTCACATGCTTTCTGTATTATCTGCTCCTGAGAATGCTGAATACTGTTAAGTTTCTATACATCTTACATGTATCTCTCTTTGTAGTTTGTAAATACCTGGTACTGAACAGAATTGAACCATTGTTGGCCTGATATGTCTTTAATAAAGTGGAATTAAAAATCCCCCAAATTACTATAAAACAAAGTCAAGAAAGAATATTGTAAAAAAATCTCTTCTAAATTTTTTTACTATAATTAGGTTGTCATATGTGTTATGTTCCTTCAGTTTTTAAACATTTCTTTTTCAGAAGTTTATCTATTTAATGAAATTATGATTTTTTTTTTTTAAATTCTGTGTTTACAGATGAGAAGTTCACCACATAAGAAGAAACGAACAAGTGAAGATTTTCTCGAGTTTTGTTCAATGGTTTTATCCTATACACAGTATAATTCTGATTCATCAGAGGTTAGTTAGTTCGTTAAACTGTCAACTAAATACATGTACGACCAATTCAATCCTTGAGTGGCATTTAGCGATTGAGCACATTATAAAACACAACACAATTTGTATGGAAATACTATCACTGGTTTATACACATATATCACAGTGTTTCCACAAGTATTCTCTTATCGTTTTGTATTGTAACAACATAAATTTTTAACCAAGTACGAACAATCTAAAATTTAAAGTCCTAAAAAACAAAAAACGGTATAGGCAATATAGGGTAATGAGCAAATGGACAAACTAAATACATGACAAACAGTGGTAACGGGTGTCCAGAAGAGTAAGCTTACCCTTTAGTTTACTGTATATTGTCCATTCTTAAGTGTTTTTCCGTGTAGGCCTACATATATGAATATTCTTTTGCAATCCTTCCGCTTTTTTTTGCTAATCACTTTGTAACTATTTCACTTTGTATAACATGTAATTTTCTGCTATATTACCTCGTTGAAAGCGTTCGTTAAATAAAGCTATTTCACACACATACTAATTATCATTTGTGCTTGAAAACGATAAGAAAATACTTGTCGAAACATCGTGCTGTATATCTATAAACCAGAGATTGTTTTCCATAGAAATTGTGTTGTGTTTTTTTTACATGTAAGCCAAGGCCATTCAAAAAAATATTCTGGTTCTCAGATAATTCTACATCACGTCAAAAGGGCTAAATCTATTTGTTAAGGCCAGCTCAATTTTTGTCAAGGTCACTAAGATGTAAATAAGGTTAGGGCACGTGATTATTGGCGAGATTGTACATGTAGGTTAGGGTAAGCATTGGGTCTAGGGTTAGGGTTGGGATTATCATTAGCCCTGTTTACATCTCGTGACCTACACGTATGACGAAAAATTGAGCTGGCTTTATCATTTAGTACTAACCACGTCAAAAGGGCTGCATGACCTGTTTTATTTCAAAGAATAACAAATAGTAACAATCTCATACAATCCATGGCTCATTTATCAAGTACATAAGGGTGATAAATGTCTATGACAAAAATAAACGACACATTCCTACATGTATAAACAATATGATGAGATGAATTTAGTTCCTTGAAATTTGATGTGTATGGAGAAGTCATTTAGTTACAGTATATTTGTAGTAACATTCTGACAAAATAAAAACACAAAAATAAAAACTTCCCTTTCAGATTTTTGGTATGGTCTAATTAACACTAATACACTTCACACTTTCATATAATTAATTAATGACTTAAAATGGAATCTGATTTACAAAACTTTTACAGTTAATCTTCACTGCGTTCCCTTGTTTGTATCATCTGTAGATGGTGGCGAATGTTTCAAAAATTTTAATTCGTAATACATGTACATGTTGGTTATGGTCGAGGACAGGACATTAGTAATATATTGACACTGCATGAGGGCGTCGTTAGCCCGAGTGTTGTTTCAGTATATTAAGCAAACTCTTAAGATCGAGACCATTAAACAACTTCAAACACAGACACTATCCTTCGCTTTCATTTCAATGAAATCACTCCCATCCAATATTTCATCTTGAATAAATAATGTATGATTGCCATGTTGCTGGTACCACCATTTGAAATAATAGTATGCCAACGTCAAAGGATGACTTTACATCTGTATTTTAATTCTAAATACTGAACGGAACAGAATATTTTTTTGATTGATATTCCTTTGAGAAATTGTGGGGCTGGGTGATCAAATGGTTAATGCGCGCGTGTTTCATCATTAGGGCTGTCATTCAGTCAAGTGGCGTGATTTCAATTCCCCGCTTGTACGTGACAAGGAGTAGGGTCGCCTCTACAACCTTGTGGGTTTTCTCCAGGTCCTCTGGATTTCCTCCCACTGCTAAAGACCCTTACACACAAGCATACTAATGATAATGAAATTGAACCATGTGTTAGTCCCGAAATGCACTAGTTTGTGTCAAGTGGACCTTAAACTTAAACCCTCTCTCTCTCCCTTTGAGAAATTCATTTTCCACCATATTTAAGATCCTCAAATGATGATCAGTATTTTCAAAGTAAAGAATGGACGAATTCTTTATATGGGTATAACACATATGATTATCAGATACTTGATTGTCACGGTACTTGTTGATGGCCGGTAAATATTGATGGCGTCGAATGGCCAAATCAGGCATTGATATCTCAGAGATAATTGATTGAGAAAATTGTTGATTGCCATTATACTTATCTACCAATACATACATGTATGCTATATGTGTGTTGGTTATTTCTATGGGAGTCACAGACTCACAGTAACATGTATATGGAACTGGCTCACTTTCTAACCGGAAGGTCTTGGATTTGCACCTGGTGTTGTCCGAGACAGTTTCTCTGGGCTGGACTTGTCATTGGGGCAGGACACAGGGTCTGGTAACGAACAGTATCTGGTTGTTTATATGGGATGGGAAAAAGAAGTAAGTCCAATGTATACGTTGGTAGCTCGAAGTTTAAAATGTCAGAGTTCAGGTGCAGCTTGAACTAAAATTTGTTATTTCCAGGTCTAGCTGAAATTTTAGTTTCTAATCCTAATTCCAAAATTTTATTTTAAAAAGTCCAAAAATACTTGTATATATATATGGGAAATTTTATCACAATTATATTATAATACACCTTGTTATATCATACTCACATGTATTCTAATATTGAGACATAACTCTTTTCAACATTTGGACATAATTAACGGATTGAGATATTATAACTGATTTTATGTTCTCTAACATTGTGATTGAGATATTATAACTGATATTATGCTCTCTAACGTTGAGATTGAAATATATATAACTGATTTTATGTTTTCTAACATTGAGATTAAGATACTCTAACTGTTTTTATGTTCTCTAACATTGAGATTGAGATATATTACTGATTTTATGTTCAAACATTATGCAGATAACTGATTTTATGTTAAAGTAAAACACAGGGCCCTTATTCACGAAAACTTAAACTAAGATACAATCGAAATTTTAAGAAATACTGCAATTCGATTGGCTGACCAATATGCAAATTGGATATATGCAAATTAATTTTACTGGTCAGCCAATCGAATTGCAGTATTTCTTAAAATTTTGATTGTATCTTAGTTTAAGTTTTTGTGAATAAGGGCCCAGAATTGACATCAGTAAACCAGACCCTGTGTCCAGTAAATCTACGAAATATAAATTAAATTGTATTGAGCTTGTTGACATCACTGATCGAAATAACACATAATTTGATCAAACATTTCGCCCCATTAAATTAAATTTAGAATTGGATGTATACTGGTACATGTATCAATATATAATATAATATGATTATTCACTGCACCATATGTGACCTATACATGAATTATATTTAATAAGATATAACATCTCTAGTACTGACTGACAGGCCTGGATATAATCATTTTTACATATTTGTTGCACCTAAAAAAATGTTGTGAAGAGTTTTATTTGGACAAATCTGTACAGGATAGGATCTATAGTAGTTCAGCTCTGAGGAGAGGTTGTGTTAGAGCTGAGCTAGAGCTACATTAGTTCAGCTCTGAGGAGTGAGGAGACTTTATGTTCAGAGCTGAGCTATAGCTATAGTGGCTCAGTAAGTGTGGTGTTGATTCAATCAACAGTGTTTGATCCTGAAGGTGACCGAGAAGGATTGGTTTTCCTCTTGTCAGTCCGTGGTGATCCTGCAGGAAGGAGGGCAGAGCAAGGAAAAACTGTGATCATTGACAGGAGGTTAAGGATCATTCCTTGACAGTTGGATATAGAAATGGGCTATAGTGCTGCTGCCTGGACAAAATTTCTCATGTATGCCCCCTCCTTATCTGGGTTGTTGCAGAAAACTAAGATGTTAAACCCCATTTCATTTGAGACATAAATTTAAATGGTATAGTTAGGCCGACATGTACTAACTGAACAAAAAACTCATTCATGCATTATACCAATACAGATATTTTACCAGGTCTGGCTAGCCTGGTAAGTTTCAAATACTATTTATAAAATATGCTTTAACCGCAATGATGCAATTTATCGTGAAAGAGCAGTTCACCCACTAAATAAACATTGATACCGGTAGATACAAATATTTCCTAACCTTTTACACCATGAACTCTGAACTCACCCCGTGCATGTAAGGTGAAGGTCGTCACAACGTGACACGCTATTTTTAGCAGCCATTATGGTTACTGACAATCCCAGATTCATCGATTCATTCAATTTGAATAATGCAGCATTTCTCAAAATATTTTTTTTCCTTACCTCCCAGAATTATAAGTCTGGAAATAGGGGGAAATACCTTGGTATGAAAACATCACGAATATTTTGCTGATGATGACACAATTTGATTCCAATTAGATAAGTCGAACAATGTAACAATACGTGGTATGACTGTTTTGGCAACATGCCACATTGCTTGAAGCTGTCAATAAAAGTCACATGGCTCAGTTGTGTGGGCGTGTTTTCTTGTGATTGACATGCCACAGTGGCGGATACAACGGATGTGGGAGTGTATTAACCGAAGATGACTTCAAACGTATTTATACTGTCAGTTTTGTAATAACCATAATTACTGGCTTCCTTTGACCATTTCCCGTTTAGATCGTCAGCAGAAGATGCCTAATGCAGTCAAATCTTCAATTCATCATATCTTTGTTATGGACTGGTATTTCTTTTATGAGATATAACTCTCAAAATAATGTAGTTTGCATTAAAACAAAAAAAAAAAGGAAAAAAAAGTTACAACCTTTTATTGTTTGAATGAAAAGATTAGACATAGTTAAAGAAATATGAAACTATTTATTCCCTAATGCAATATATTAACATCTAAATAATAGAATGTTGATAGACTGATCCTACTACAATAACAGCCACTGTCTGTCTGTAACCATGACTGCAAATATGGTCTTCTATCAACTTGGTGTAGACCTAATCTAGTTACAAGGTATATACTTTGTTCATCCTCTTAGACCCACTACATGTATATTGAAGAAACTTTATATACCCCAATTTAGTTTAAATGTACTAATTAATTATGGATTCTGCAAGGAATTAATCTGTCTTTTGTAGGTCTTTTTTTTTGGGGGGGGGGCTTCAAATGTTACAGTATATAAATGAGAAATTAAGCATTTATAACTCACCATACAATATATGTTGAAAACCACAGTTTTGTAGTCTGTCATAACTCACAGTAAGTTAACAGACCAAAGTCTATTATTCCTTAATAAGTTGTACACACACATAAAACACATAAGTGTACTGTATATTACAAGTCCATTCTCCATATAGCTTTATACACACTTTCCTCTGCCGTAAATTAAAAGTGTACTGTGTATTACAAGTGTATTCTCTTTACATTTGTCCACTGTATATTACAAGCGTTTTCTTTTAACATGGCCCAATGAATATTACAAATGTATTACCTTTACATTGGTCCACTGTAAATTACAAGTGTATTCTTTTATCATTGGTCCACTGTAAATTACAAATGTATTTTCTTTACATTTGTCCACTGTATATTACAAGTGTATTCTTTTAACATTAGTCCACTGTAAATTACAAGTGTACTGTGTAGTGTATTGGTCTACTGTATATTACATGTGTATTCAATAGATACATACATATTACATAAACCACATAGATACTTATTATATATTCAATTTTATATTTTCAGATGTTGCGAGCAGAATATAATACAAGTCCGTTAGATAGTACTGGTACAGGAGATAGTTATTTATCAGAGACATCAAATTTATCCTATAGTAGTCAAGAACATAATTCATCCTTTGATGGTAAATATGATAATATTTTATGAATATTTTACTCTTACACATTCTTGATCAAAGGAACCATTGCTGCTCATTGATTTAGGTGCCAGCTCATTATTAAAGCAAGAGGTCCATGGTGCAATCGCAGTGTTTTCCATAGTGTTTTCTCTCCTTTTCAGTGGTGCAGGACGGAGGGCTTGGGCAAGGGATTGTGTCTTGTCGTTGAAAAATTGAGATCATATGTTACATTTTGGCATGCATTTAAGAACCCATGACCGTTTAAATTCGACAAAGAGTAGACAGAAATACCACTGTCCAGGCAAAATTCACCGAGTATTGCTCATACGTCACCATGAAAAAATAAAATAACCGTATGGTTGAAGTATTGTGTTGATGAGACAATAAACTCCAATGCTGCAAGAAGAAGAGCATGTGAAGGAACAATGTCTTCACATTCGGATGGGACAAAAAAACCCAAGGAGCCAGGTGTACACGTAAAAGAACTCTTTTAAATGCTGTATGGTAGTCTCAGAATGACTGAAATAATCTGTTCATCTGATTTTAAAACTTTTTCCATTCGGATGGGATGAAAAATCGATGTCCCATATACAGGGATTGGGTAGAAGAACGGTATGTACAGGTTAATGCGTGCACGTTGGATCATAAGGTCTGTCATTATTAAGTCAAATGCCGTGCTTTGATTCCCAGTTTGTATGTGACAAGGAGTAGGGAAATCTGTCCAACCTTGTGGGATTTCTCCAGGTCCCCTGGTTCCCCCCCCCCCCCCCCCCACACACACACACCCTGACTCCATCACCACCACCACTTCTACAGACCCCAAAGTGCAAGCGAATTACTGAAATAAAATTAAACCATATCTTGGTCAAGAAATGACAGTTTGTGTGTCGAGTGGATATTAAACCCCATTTCTTTCTTTCAAGATAACAGAAATATTGTGTTCATCAGATTTTAAACCAAATTCAGTTCGATTTATTTGTTTGTGTGTCGAGTGGATATTAAACCCCATTTCTTTCTTTCAAGATAACAGAAATATTGTGTTCATCAGATTTTAAACCAAATTCAGTTCGATTTATTTGTTCTTGCTTTTATTTTAACACTTTGAATTTTAATTTTTTTTACAGAGGATGACTCCATGGATCTTGTTACATGTTTTTGTTCGAAGCCGTACGCAGGTCGGCCAATGATCGAGTGTTCAGACTGTTCCGTATGGATTCATCTATCTTGTGCTAAAATACGTAAAACAAACATCCCAGATAATTTCACGTGCCAGCGATGTAGAGACGCTCGTTTGACGACACGTAAATCGTCGCGGACAAGAGTTGAAAATAAGAGAATCGTGGAGTAGTAGATTTAGAGACCATTTGTTAGACCGATGACAAAATCATTGCATTGTGATAGTACCGGGACCGTGTGTTTGAAACATGGTAGTACAGTTTGTTGACACGCAGTGGTATCCAGGGTGTGAAATAAACGTAGACCAAGGCTGACATAAACAGAAGTGAGCCCCGTAAAACAGTTCTCCATGACATCCATCAGGCCTATGTATATTCTATTGACTATCATAGAGCCTTAGTTCTAATGGAGGACAACCTTGACATTGGCATCTTGACAGTGAAATAAATGTGAACAGTAGTGGGCCTTAAAATACTTCTCTGTGACACCCATCAGGCCTATGTATATTTTATTGGCTTTCATTCTACAATGTATATTATATAGCCTCAGTTCTGATGGAGGACACCCTTGACATTGGCGTCTGCTCTTATATCACATGTGAAATAAATGTATACTGAGACTGATGTAAACAGAAGCCGGCCTTAAAACAGTTCTCCATTTTGTCATTTATGTCACAGAGATATATGTTTTGATGGAACACCATTTACATTGGTGTCTGGTCTTACATAATGAGTTTACATAATGAGTTTCAAACTCTGGTAATGTCACCGATCCATCATGTGGCGGTACCGTGCAGACCTTGTCGTAAAAGGTGATTGATTAATCTTCTGCCCTTATATTCATTTCTTGGAGAGCATTCGTCCAATCACTTCAGACATTGTAAACTATGTAGGCTGTGACCTTCACCTTCTCGCGTCTGCTCACCTTCAGATGAAATATGGGAGAGTGACCTAACCCTTTTCTCACCTTGTAATTTCTTATGGCTAGGTTTGTTGTACCAAGATGGGTTAGAAGCAAAACTTGATTGTTTTTGTGATATGTTTGTGCCTCGAAAGTTCTCCACAGATTTTTCTCATTGCATTTGAACCATTAACTGCCGACAAAAGATCCAATATTTATAAAAGGTTACAAGTCTATATCTTTATGTGTCATCTAAGTTATTAAATCATGTATGTGTATGGAAAATATATACACATTGTAACCGCTCAGAATGTACATTTTATTTATTTTCTTGGTCAGTCATTATTTTTTAATCCCCATCGAGTGCCTGGAGAGTTTTTTGTCGAGCACCTCAGAGTTGAAAATTGTTCCTCATAATAATTAAGTTACATATTTTTTTTTTATGATAAACTAATATACAGTGTATGCTACTTAAAAAGAAATCCTGGCTGTATAGTCTCTAAATCTTGTACTCTAAGTACACTTGCCTTATGAATAAAAGAAATCGCTCTCCTTATTATGATGTAAGAGTATTTTTAGAAGAGAAAATTTTGAAATTTAAGACAGCTTTTTTCAGCTCATCAGCCAATGTAAAAAAAAACAATGATTGCATTATTTAAGTTAATTTTATGTACTTGTGAAATTGTTAAGCAATAAACTTAATAAATGGCTACTCTGAACCAGTTAAAATAATCTGGTTCATTGTTAGTAGAATTTAGCATGTTGCTGTAAGTTTTTGAAAGCTAAAGGTAGATAACTCCAAATATGGTTTTGTCTAAATTAGATTCAGTGACAAAAAACAAATTTCCGATCTGAGACTATGACTATATGCATTTTCAATTGTTCAGTTGCAATACGTTTTTTTTGTTTTTTTTGGGGGGGAGGGGAGGGGGGCGGGTCTTGTTTGCTATTCCCAAAAGCTTGTTGGGTCCAAATTATTTTTTTTGAAATTTTAAGCAAAGATTATGTTTAATTATCAATACCATGAAGAACTAAAAATTAATTTCAGTTTGCCTGAAAATTCTTCAGACCCAAAGAACAAAAATTTGATTTGATATGGCCTAAAGAGCAGATTGTTGAGTATAATATTTTAAACACCCATTGATTGCCCTGGTGATTAACCTCCTAAAATTATCTCCCCTAGAATTAAAAGAAGTGCTGTCAAAGCTGCTGATCATGAATTAGGAGATTTTTAATCGGTTGCAAACTACCGTGATGTCAAAAGTTCAATCTCTAAAAGGAATATCAATCTAAACATGATTAATAAATTCCATTCAATATTTATAAAGATTTGATCAATTTATTTTCTCGCTAATGTTTAGTATCCTCTATAGAGGATATCAACAAGCCATCAATACCAACATGTCGTACAAGTGATGAGTCAAATATCTCAATGGTCTTTTTTAAATCCAAATGAATCCAAGCTAAGAGCTAATCTATCCTTGATATTTTGGTTTGTTGTTTCTTAATTAAATGTTAAATAATCAATTTGAGTATATGTTAGCATAGACTAGGCCGTGAAATATTGATATTGTCTGAAACATGCATTCTATGAATGCAGAGGTGCTTATTAATTAGGCCCAGTATGGAATGTTTGTTTTCAGTTTAAGCGGATTGATGATGACCCTAAAATTTCCACGCATATGGTTACTTAGTGTTTATGTCACATGTAAATGTCATGTATAAACACGGCCGAATTAAGACCGACAGAGGGCCTAAGCACTTAAAAAGATTTGAGGACCCCATATATAATTCAAAATATAAACAATATTAAACCACAAACAACCGCCAAGCACGTGATTAGAGTTTTTCTGAGATTTTATTCAGGTCATTATTGATTGTGTCGAAACAGGTAACAGTAGGTAAAGACAAAAACAACGAAAACTAATTGAAAGTTCTCAATTTTCAGATTAAATATTTTAAATTTGGCATCTAACAAAGCAGATATTCTGTGGTGCCCCCATGACCATGATGTCCTTGTTTTGCTTAATGGTTAAAATGAAATGAAATGGGGTTTAACGTCCCACTGTTCTGCTCCTATACTGGGCTAATGAAGACGGGGATTAATGGTTAACCCTGCACTGTGTACCGTATAAACTTAAAGTAGTGTTTATAACAATGCCACGTGCATGTATCAGCCTACAGTAGTGTTTATAACAATGTCACGTGCGTGTATAAGCCAACTATTGTGTTTATAACAATGTCACGTACGTGCCAACTGCAGTGTTTATAACAATGTCACGTACGTGCCAACTGCAGTGTTTATAACAATGTCACGTGCATGTATAAGCTTACGGTAGTGTTTATAACAATGTCACGTGCATATATAAGCCAATGTCCGGTATAAAATTACGGAAATGTGTGCAACAATGCCACGTACATGTATGTTTGTAACAATGTCATATATAAGTGTATTTATAATAATATAATATCTAGTGCTATATTTTATTTGTATTGTTATGAAAACATTCCAGAAAACTGTCAAAATACAGAAATTGTTCCACAAATTGGTTCCCACAAAATAATTGTTAAGAATAATGACCAAGTATTTTACTTGTACATTAAATCAAATCTGTGTTTTAATAATTTGTTATGATGGTATTGATGTTTAATGTCTCTGTCAATTAATTAAAACCAATATCAAATCACCAAATAAGACATATTTGAACATACGAAATGTTTTGTAAATTCTGTGTTCAGATGGCAGGGAGCACAGTATTCAAGTTGTAGGGTATTACAATGTAACTTGCTCAGGATGGTGCCCGCTAAACACGTATGTCAACAGTGGTTTGCAGGTAAAAAAACTTTTGCCAATTAAAACCCGATGGGAAGTAGGTTGAAACATCGCTGTCCCCACGCTGCATAAAAACATTAAAATGTGTTTTGTCGCAAAAATGACCATCAGATGGGACCTTAAACATTCTCTTCCAAAACCGTATTAGGATCAATATGGGCTTGTGCAAATTCTCCCCTGAACACAGGGGGCAAGATCAACTGAAAAGTACAGTCCCAAATCCTTCTGTTCGCCGGTGTGTTAGGGTACATTGTCACTGTTTTGGTACATCAATCAAATATTCCCCCTCATTCTGCTATGAATTATTGGTGGACAGAGCTGAAGGCCACAGTTAAAATGTCCTAGAATAAGGTCATAACAAACATGGATATTTTAGAAATTATCTTTACACAAAAGATTAACATATTTATTAGGTATTTAGTAATTGAACATAATTAACAAAGGGTAAAATTTTCTGGATACACAATTACTTGATTTATTACTATTCAATAATTCGATGAAAATAGCCAGTATTTTATCAAACAATTGATGCAACTAAGATAACGGTATCCTTGTTGTACACTAATAATTTCAGTTATTGTGCATACATAATATTATACGACGGTGGAGATAATGTTTATAGTAATGTTTGTATGTATATTTATAAGAAAAGATTGGTAGAATTATAAAATAATATTCCGTCCATTGTTTGTAATATGTATATATTTATATATTCATAATGTGTAATGACGTCATATTAACATGTACATGTACTATAAAGATATAGAATACAAACCTTGTTCACGATATCGTAAAGACTATATGTTACTGTCTTGGCCTCGATGTTCCATTTACCTAGATAGAAAGAAGACCTTTACAAAACTATAGGTTACCGCCGCGGCCTCGATGTTCCACGTTCCTAGATAGAAATAAGACCTTTACAAGACTATAGGTTACCGCTTCGGCCTCGATGTTCCACGTTCTTAGATAGAAATAAGACATTTATAACACTATGTTATCGCCTTGGCATCGATGTGCCACGTTCCAAGATAAAAAATTAAGACGTTTACAAGACTATAGGTTACTGCCATGGCCTCGGACGTTCAATGTTCCTGAATGAAAAATAAAATCTTTACAAGACTATATGTTACCGCATATGTTCCATGATTCTAGATAGAAATAAGACCTTTACAAGACTGTATGTTACCGCCTTGGCCTCGATGTTTCATGTTCCTAGATAGAAATAAAAAGAGGGCGTAGTAAAATTAATAGAACATAAGATGAACTTATTGGCGTGAGGGTTTGTTGATTGTTATAAAACTTAGACCATATGGTTTTTGGCTTGACTACTTTTTTTTTTATTGTGTATGGGTTGAATCATGAATATCAAAATTTGCATTTTATTCTGGAGTAAAGTAACTACTTATTTACCACTGGCTTCCCAAATCCTGAACTTTATTTTAAACTAAATAAAGAGTGTTTGTTACTGTGAATAGATTATTAAATTGATGGCGTATATTCAAGTTATAATACATGTAAATAATGTATAAATGTGAAGATTTTTGTTTGAATTGAAACAAATGTTTACTTTTGCTACACATATCATGTTTATAATAATTGTTTTATTACTTTATGTACGGTACGCTGATTGTTTTATTAATTTATGTACGGTACAATGTAAGATAACAATGTATATTAACTGTTGAACTAAAAAGTAAATAAAACTTCTTTACAAAAAATATAAAATCCAAAACAGAGAGAGAGAGAAATTGGGTTTAACGTACACTCGACACAAACTGGGTCATTTCGGGACTAACATATCCGAAACACCAGGCTGTCCTGTTTCGTAGCCTCGATGGCTAACTGACTAAGACGCTGACTCGATAGCCAGGAGGTCGAGTGTTTGCACCCGGTGATGGCTGAGAAAGTTCATCGGGATTTTTAGGCGTGGTTCCCCCTTACCAGTGGCGCAGGACCGAGGGCCTGACAAGGACAGCTGTGCTGTCGTTAGGCTGGGACGAAAAACCGAGGCCCCGCGCACACATTGACATACACGTAAAAGATCACTTGGCATTTGAAATTAGATATAATAGTAGGCCGTAGTGCCACTGTTCGGACCAAATCCAAAATAGCGACCAAATTTCTTTAAAATGGCCAATTTGTCAAATAGTCATTTCACTGTTTGATATGACAAATTGAAAGGATTCTCAGTGTTGCTGAACTTACAATTGACCTAAACAAAGAGTAAGGCGAAAATTCAAAATGGCGGCCAGAATCTCCGTAAACAGATAATCGTCAATTTTCTGTTTCATATAGCTTATAATAATATCTCTTTTATAAGGTTTTCAGAGTCACCGAACTTACCCCCCCCCCCCCCCCCCCCCACAAAAAAAAAAGAATGTTGAAAATGTTGCTAAAGATAATGCTAAAATTGACACATTCTTTAGAAATGAAATGAAATGAAATGGAGTTTAACGTCCTACTGTTCTGCTCCTAACCTGGGCTAATGAAGACGGGCATACGCCATACAGTGTGCTATGAGGGAAATTTTGCCCGGACAGCGGCACTACGGCCTACTCTTATATCGAATTCCAACTGCCAAGGGATCTTTTACGTGCACGCCAATGTGTACACGGGACCTCGGTTTTTCGTCCCATCCGAACGACTAGACAGCTTTCCTTGTCAGCCCCTCCGTCCTGCATCACTGACAAGGGAGAACCACGCCGGAAAATCTGGATGAACTTTCTCGGCCAATGCAGGGATCGGACACCAGACCTCCAGGCTAGCGAGCTAGCGTCTTACCAACTTAGCCACGTGATCCCCCCACATTCTTTAGAGAATATATCTGGCTTATCCGACCATCCACCCCCAACCCATAAACAATACAATGGTGAATCTGGCATTAATTATACTGGATCTCATAGATCACAAGACATTCCACCAAAATAGTGAGACATTTTAATTTCATCTCCTTTGCCTTTGCACCATTTTTAGCGTATTGAGAATTATTTATGATGCATCCAGTTGTTTAGAATTTAAGTTGTCCTATTCGTTCAGAAATGATAATGTGGTCCATTTTTACATTAAAGGCTATGCC